ATAAACACCAGTGACCTTCTGTGGCACATCAGCTTTGCTCAGGTCACCAGGACAGGCATTATTACCCTCAGATCCCACCTGCAGTTTTGCTTGCATATGTTGCACCTTTATTAATCCCCAACTCATTTCTACATGGACTGTTGTTACAGAAGCAGAGGTTCTCACAAACTCCTTCTCTGAGAATGAAGTATTACTACCTGTAGTGAGAACTCAAAAGTGGTGATGCAGAAAGCTTTTGGACACAGCACAGAGAAGTCTTAACAGGAATGCTCAAGGACTCTGCTTCCTCAATACTCACACAGCATAAACCAGCTCAGTGTATTTTAGGATAATGTTAAGAATTGTGCTGTTTTGTTCACACCTTCTGAAACGAAGCTACAACTCAAAATGATGCTTTCAATATTACATAATTTCAAGATTTTTCAATAATTAAAGGGTTTTGGTTTGTGTCAACTGGCAAAGTGAAGAGCACAAAAAGTCTGCATCCAATGAGAAGGAGAAATGTACCACTTGGCTGTTTTTCAGATGAAATGAAATATGGAAATTTTTTCCAAACGTAAATGCAAGCAGAAAGAAAACAAAACCAGATTGTCAAATACTGTGGTGGCCACTTACTTAAAATCAGTTCTTTTTTTATAGTGTAAATTTAGACGTTGTACGCCTGTTAAAATAAAAAAGGCACAAAATTGCTCTTCAAAGAAATGTATATTTTGCTTGAGCCTAGCAATTAGACACAAGGTTATGGGAAGGAGAGGAAATATCTGTGCACGTGCATGCATATGCTCTGGAAACCACCACTCAGATTCCCAACTAGACCTCTTACACAGCTAATTACCTAACTTCTGTGATGTTTGCTGTTACCTGTGGAAAAGGTATTCCAGTACAGGGAAGCATCATGCAAAGGTGTCATCAGGCAGTAAAAATTACTTATTTATCACCTCTAGTTTTACTTGTGTGTAGCTACAAGACCATATTTGTCATGCAGTCTAGGTAACTGCAGACCATAATAAACTCATGACTTTCTCAATTTTTTCCCAAGTATGCACCAGCCCCTAGATTATGTACCACTTCTCCTCACATCCTCCTGAACAGCCAAGGGTTTCCAGAAGCCTTCACTTTTGGGCATCTTCCAAAAGCCAGTGTATCTAGGAATTATCCCACGAGCAGCTGGCATAGCACAGTATATCCCAGCCCTAGACCTGACAAAAAGCAGGTGGGAATACCTGGGTACTTGTTACTGTTGTGAGAGGATGATCACCCTCACCACTACGCAAAGAGGTGTGAGGAGGGAAACAGAGCAACTCTAACAGCAACATGAGCACCAAAGGATCTGCCAGTGCAAGGCACGAACAACCTGCAGCTATAAATCTCCAAGGCGCAGTGATGACACAGATGACAGACTGACATCTCTGTGGGGCCTGACACACACGTAACTGGCCCTTCCAGAACATCAGGTTGACCACAATGCTAAAGGGTGGTATCTTCTACTGTATCTTTATTAGCATTCTGTAATTAATACAGATATTTTCTAGCTAGTAGTAGTTCTTAATTTTAAAAAAAATTATCCATGCATTTAAGTATTCAAGTTTGGTTAGATTCTGGTCAAATGAAACTTACTGGACTTTGAAAAAAAGCATTTCATAGCACTTGAAAAGTTTAGTATTAAAAATTCCACAAGGCTGGTATTTCCAGGCAAATTTGTTTAAAAAAAACTTTTGTTTGAGAACAGAGTTTAATAAACTGCTTGGTAGTTTTTTCACTCCAGTGTTACTTTAGAGTGGATTAAGATTGGCACTGTTTATTAAGGAAATGTACCAATTAAACCTTTCTGAGGAGGTTAATTTTTGTGACGAAAGCACAGAAGAGTGGTATTGCAAAGCTTTGCACCGAACTCTGTAAGTGCTGCGTTTGCACGCTCTTTGTTGACCCTTTTTTAGCACAATGTCATGCAGTGCCACTTATGAATGTCATTTTTTCCTGACCTCCCAGCCACTGGATGCAGTACAGCTTTTCCTGCCTAATCAGGATTTTATTACATGTCTCAGGTTTCTCAGTCACAGCTAAAATCCTTACCTTAGAAATAAGTGACATAGACATTTAACTTGGGTGACACTAAGGAAACATTGTGCTGGGAGAAAAGGAGACAGCAGTACTTCCGAGCATATTTACACATTCCTGACACTCAGGTAACCAGCCAGCAGCAGGGATTTTGGTGATGGGTGGGAAGCACTGAGTTTTACTGGAGTTAATGAGGGACATATGAAAGAAGGGAAGCTTGCATGTCCCTGATTTACCAGATAAAGTTAATATTAAGGATCTTATTAAAGAAGCTCTACAAGAATATTAAGTTAAACAGGCTCAAGCTGAGCAACAACCCAGTTTTCCACTCCTACAAGGAGCTACAAGCTTGTAGAATGATGATTCTCAGAGAGACAAGCAAGCACTAGGTTAACATCAGACCATTTTTACCACATCTGACCATCTGCCTTATTTCTCTGTCACACACAGCCCCTAGCATCAGGGAAAACCCATCTGGTTGTAAATCAGTATTTCAACTCCTACAATTAAATCTGTAGATTAAAATTCATTTCTACCATCATATATAAAGATAAAGAAAACATGGTGGCACTGTCCTTCTGCACTGTTGATTTCCTCAGGATGCTTACGTGACATAACTAGAGGAAGCTCCTGAACATACAGGTAAACTTAGAGGAGTAAGAAATAGACAGTTTTACATTTGTCAACCCAGTGGTAGACTTCTTCAGAATTGTTAGATTGCAACAACTTTGATAATTATCTCTTAATTTTCTTTGACAGTGAACTTTTTTTTTTTAAAATTAATTCACAGATGGCAAATTCATGCAGGACAGCTTAAGTACTCTTTGAGGATACCTGCCTACCAGCCTGGCTCAAAGTGGAGGTTTCCCAGAACCAAAGCACACAGCTCACAGCATATTGTTAAAGCGTGCTTACCATAACTGTGCTGACCATACAGCAAGCCCCTCAGAAAATCCTCATGCAGGACCTTCCAGCCTGTGGATTTGATTCTTTGGAAGGAAGAAATAGAGCCCCCCATTCCCCAACCCCTTGTACCTTTATTTGAAAGGGTAAGAGTTTCTAAAAAGAAATAAATAGAAATTTTCTGAATAAGTTTCTCATGAATAGAAAAAAAATGAAAATACTAGAATTGTACACAGATATATGAGGCTAGTTCAAAAGCATCAAAGCTGATATTTTATTCTAGCTCTGCTTGGGGAAGCTTGAAAATGACAAATTAACATCATGTGATGAAAAGTTTGGCCAAGTGGAGCTCCCAGGCTAGCAAGAGTTGTTTCTGGAGTCTTCCTGGTAGTGGTGGGCTACAAGAGGAACAAGCTTAATTCCCAACAGGTCTTTGGTAAAATGAGGATCAACAGGTAGGCAGTGCTGTATTTTGGAGCCAAGAAAGACAGCAGCCATGCATGTCTTTTCCCCAGACTCTCACACTACTGGATATGAGCAAGGTGTACGTCAGAATACAGCCTGCTAAGAGTGTTCAAAAACCTCTGTGTAGTTCTCTGAGAAGTTTTTCTATCTCAACCTGATACACTATATGCAGACCTATCCCTAGTTTATACTGTAATTTTATTACAGCCTTGTGGAGAGAATAGCTTAACTCAAAGTTTACATAGCTGAGTTTAACATGCCAGGGGGAATAGAGGGATTAAAAGAAAAGCAGGCCCAGCTATAGCATCTTCCTTCTCTCAGAGTACTAACGGGTCACAGGTGAAACATGCTCTGTAAAAGAATCATTAAAAGTATAAACATTTATGCATCAGAAGAAATGGCTGAGTTAAGTGAGCAGGGTACATGCAGTAATTCAAGAGAATGAAAACAGTAACAAAAGCCAAGAAGATAGACAAAAGCAAAGAATTGGCAGCGCTGCCTGGAGTACATCAAGGCCACACCATGTATAAAAGCACACCAAAAATGCAAAGCAGCAACTTTATATTACAACTTAATTTGGCTCTGAGCCTTCTTTGTCAATATAAAAAGGCTGCAAGGATCACATAGCATTACAATCAATCAAGAACCAAGGAGACAGATAAGAATGTGATAGCTAGCAGTCCTTGTTCTCCATGCCACACCACCACAACTAATCCTGGTATCTGTGAAAAAATGAAGTCAGTTTTGTTTAAAACAAAACTTTCTGTATTGTGTGCTCATACAATGAATTTTGCTACATTTATTGTGGCAGCAAAGTGGAAGAAGAAAACAAAGTTCTCATTCAATTATATAAACAATACCAGTAGAATGCATAGAAGTCACTCAAATTCCATCAAATCTTGAGGGAAATGCCATCATGTTTGCAAAGAGGAGTACTAACCTTTCAGGAAGAAACAGCAGTAAGACATAATAAAAAGACGGTAAGGGCAGAAGAACTGTCTCAACTCAAGAGAGAAGGCATTTAGATTATGTTCCTGTTTGCTCAAGTGTACCACTTAGACTTCTGCACAGGCATGCACATTGCAGGGTCAAACCACTCTTGATTGTTGTGGTTCTGAACAGAAGCCAAATAGATTGTAGCAGCTGTATATTCAACAATTTGGTGTGATAAGAAACAGACTGTCAATGCTGAAGCATGATTAGCACGATATAAAGCTTACAAACTAACAAAGTCATGAGTTAAGTTAAACAATATTTAGATGACTGATTGCACATGATTGCATATTATATTTACAAATCCCAAATATTTCCTCCAATGTTCTGACATAAATCACAAAAATTAAATCAAACTATCCAAAAGCCTGAGATCAAGAAAAAATATTGTGCTGAACTGTGCTTTAATCTTATCATACTCTACGATGTACATACATTTTATCTATGCACAACACCATCATTAAGAGCAAGGCAATTTTAGTCCCTGACACGAGCAGATTTATTCAGGAACTCAACCGAAAACAAGATTTACTGCACACCCTCATGGTATAGAACAGGCCCCAACCAAGAGTTAAATGAAGGAACACACAAGGAAGATGATGATTGCTGTTCCTCCACAAGCCTCAAAATCTTGTACTAACACACTTGTCACAAAAATTAGAAAACAGAACAGTGAAAGTGGTTTGCAGGTGGGAAAATGACAATAGCTCACTAGGTATCCCTAAGATCCACTGCACAACACTGGGCACACAATTAAGCTGCATCAACAGTGCCTATGGGCTTGTTTTTCTCCATTGAAGAAGTTTGGTTACCCAGCAGACCCTTTGCAACCCCACCACGCTGGAATTCAGGCAAAGCTGAGTCCAGTATCTGCACTACAAATTGCTCAACAGCCACAGGCTGACAGGAGGGCTAGCATAGTTTTCCAGTTAGATCTCCCCTCCATCTCTTATGCAATCTTCGGGGCTGTGAAGGAAACAGTATTTATATGCTTTTAGATTGTTATAGGTTTGAAAAGAGATGTTGGAATTTCTCCCTAATATCAATTACTGGGTAGCGTGCAACTACAATGAAAGGACATCGCCCCCCCCCCCCCCCTTTTTCCCGGGGAGGAGCGACGTCGCGCGCAGAGGGGCACGGGAGTGGGCGAGGGTTGTTTTTAAACTGGCTGGTACCAGGCACTGGGGCCTTTGTTGGTCTTCCTGCCTGTCACCCGACGGAGCCGGCAGCCACCTTTTTTTTTCCAATTCAACCTCCGAGAAGAAGCCTTCCCCTGCCTGGAACCGCCGTTGGGGATCGGCCCCAGTCCTTCGCCGGCCATCACAGCAACCGCCGGGATAAACCCCAGGAGAGCCCCTGCCGACCGTTTGTTTTGGAGCGAGGTTATCTGTCCCAGGCCCGCCCTGCGCCAGTGCTGCATGTCAGAGCATCTCCCGGCGGCTGCTGCTTGGAGCAGCCCGCCCGCCGCTGCGGGTACTTATTTCCTGAGCTGGGGAGCCCGGAGCTGTTGCCGAGGGCCGCGCCCAGAGCCCCGGGACAAAAGGGAAACGCCCCTTCATTGTTGGCAGCGGAGCCACCATCGCTCACGTGGCTGTGAGCAGTTGTTGAGCTACCGGGAACAGCCCGCGGACTCCCACGGGGAGCCGCGGCAGCTGCCACCTGGGGAAGTAGGACTTTGTTTTGAAAGTTTTGGTTGCACTACTGTTACTTATTCAGGTTTGTTAGATATATATATGTATGTGTACATATATATATACACACATGCTAATAAAGAGCTGTTATTTTCCTTTTCCACACCTTCCACCTGAAGCCTCTTAATGCTGAGATTATAATAACTTAGAGGGAGAAGTTTGGTTTTTTTTTTTCCCTAACCTGTCCTCTTTAGCAAACATTTGTCTCTTGTTAAACTATGACACAGATAATTTCTCCTGGCAGATTGGAATCTGTAAAAAAAAAAAAAAACAAAACCAAACCCCAAACAATTCATATTCAGTATGTGCATCATATTGTTTTCAAGGCAGTGGATATGTCCTTGGAGAGTCTTAATGCATGACTGCTGAGAGACTATATGCAAACTCATTGTAAACACCTGAGCTATTATCTGGAACAAAAAATTCATGCCCTTTCCTTAGTGATACATTTTTATTATGGGGTTGGAAGACAGTTATGTGTATATCTAAGCTCCAGGTGAGAAGTGTGTTATTTGTAGTTTTCCTCCTAAGGGTGTACATCTGTACAGGATAGCATGTAATTTTTACCACAGAGGTTCTGCAAAATTAGTCTGTGTAAATTTATAGTCTGCAAGCAGTTTTGACAGTTATTACCCCAAAGCACAAGTCAAAGTAACAAGACAGCAAATGAGATAAAGAAATTTTTTCTCTTCAATACAATTTTATTGTAATAAGAAGGGTTAATAAAACCCTTGTTTCAGTTAAAAAATATTAAATTCTAATTTTACATGTTAAAATATTATAAAACAACCATCCTGTGACTATTGCAGCATTTTAAAAATGGTTGGGACTCCGGTCATTTTCACTCATTTTCATACCCCATCCACAGCAATCAAAAAATCAGTTTTTTTGGTAATCCTGAAAAGTGTAAATCACATTGTTAGTAAAGTAAAGGGGTCCAGCCCTCTCCTCAAGATCTGATACCATTCTCAAGATATATCTACTCTGAACTGCTTAATGCTGCTTACTACAGTGGTAGTACATGACTTCTTCTAATGAACCTCAGAGAGTGATAGAATCAAAGCACACTTAGTGTGTACTCCAAATGAGTCACAAATTCTGCAATTAAGTATTAATTACATTTGAGATACATGTAAGTATTTTTCTTTGTTGATATAAAAAGCTAACCAGTCAACTGTTGGCATGAAAAGCTAAGCCTTAACCCTGTCCCACCACACCAACACTCTTAATAACTTTTCTTACATGCTGTCAGATCGAGGACAAATTCTTAACCTTAGATATGAATAGAATGGCTTTTGTTTATTTCCAAACTAATGTAAAATAGTTCTGATATTAGGTGGATTCATTATGCTGCATTAACTCAGGAAAAAGTTTAGTGTACCTACAGCTCTGTAGGAATGCAGATCAATAAGACTGCTTCCTGGGGAAGCAGTGCTGCGTTTGGTTAAGTGCCAGAGTGAAGATTGACAATGATGTCGTCATAATATCAGTGTCTCCACATACCACAGTGAACAGAAATAAGTGGCAGCAGCAGACAGAAAGTATGAATGTTTAATACTTTTCACAGGGAGTCATCCATCCAGTGACAGTTTTTCCCTAACAGTAGAGACTGTTTTGTGAGAAGTACTTAAGTTTGGTGGTCACGCCCCACAGGCTCCAGGGTTTTGTTGTTGTGGAAAAGCAGCACTTAGGGTGATGGCAGGAATCTTTGTCCCGACAGTCAGGTCCCGATGCCAATATTTTACAAGAGGTTATCCATCAGTAATCATTCAGTCTATTTTGCCAAGCTCCAGAGCGCTACCTGGACAAGGCTAAGGAAATGTATTGTGCAGGATGCAAGGGCAGGGCAGTCTAAAAATTTCAGGGAATACAACTTATTTTTCTTTGAGATTACTTTTGCATATTTCCACCCTCAATAGCAGTAAAAACATGCTGCCCTTCAATTTTTATTTAAATAAAGACTGTAGGATTATTCTTCCAAACAACTATTCAGATTTTAAGTGGTAATGTCATATAAGGATGGCAAATGAAATCCAGGGCAGCAGATTTGCTAGCTCTTAACATTGGCTCTCTCCTTAAATGTTTGTTGGCACTACCCTTGAGACCTTCTGATTCTGTCAGCCCAGCTAAGGCAAAACCAAAACATAATGGAAAATCCATATCAGAAAATCCATTTCATTTCTGTTTTCCACTTAGTGGAAATGATACTGCTTTTTATGCTGATACTCAAATGTCTCAAAAATTAATGCTGACTTCTTAAATGCCTCATTTATAGCTAATCTCAAAACTCCTAGCATTTAACACATAAGCTTTATTTCATCTTGTTGAAGATGAGACTTTTTGAAAGATATTAAAGCAATTACTGTTCTAGCTTTATACAGCTCTGGAAACTCTGCCCATTGTCAAATACAACAATTAAGTCACAGAAATCAAAGAAGCATTTCTCTTTTTCCTGTCCTTTAGTTAACAGGCCTATTTTAGGGCATGTACTCCAAAACACTAGTCACAAACCCTCAAATGATCTTTGCAAAAGGAGCTAAAAAGCTTAAATTAATTGCCTAAGCTACCATAACTTGACAAGTTCCCACACATCAGCTGACCGATGGTACTGGGGTCAGTAAACAGCATACAAGTAGTCAGCTGATTAAATTTTATTTTGAGGTTGAAATCTTAAGGTAGTGCTTTTTACTTCTAATTTGACACAGACTCTGAAACAACCATTCAAAGTGCCTAAAAGTTAAGTTAAACGCTAATCATGTAGTTGTCTCTCTGAACTCAAGAGGAAAAATACACTTCTATGGAAGCATCTCTATTACAAAAAGATACCACTTTTGAGTATTATTGAATCTTATACTGGCAATAACAAATGGCTGATGATAATCTGCTATCTAGCATATTCCAACTGTTAAGAAAACCAAGTCCAAGTTTAAGAACCAATATTTGCCTCTCTAGTAGAAGGTCTGAGTAATTCAGCATCAGATACAGATGTTGAGTCCTGAGCACTTTTCTTGCCACGAAGATATGAAATAATGCTACTGTTTGAGGAATACTGAAGGAGGGTCACAGAAATGTGCTTCATGTTCCTTACCCAGAATGGTCTAAACAATTAACTTGCTTACCTGATGAGAAAGAAAGCAGAAATCTCTCTGAATCTCATCTACATTTTCCAGTCTATCATTTCACAGAATCACATGCTATGTTTTGGACTCTCATACTCTGTACCTCATTTTGTTTTGTTTTAAGAGGTGTGAAGTTAAATTACTTCCACCTAAGTAAGATGCCTCAGGAAAAAAAGGCTCGTCATAATAGCCTATAATTTACTGGGCAGTATCACACACCATTAGAGCAATTAATGGAATTGGATATTTCTAACAAATAGATATTTCTAAGCATCATAGAAAAGAGTCTTTTTTTGTACTAATTCTGTCAGAACACAGTACTAAGTCATTCTCACCCCAAAGCATTTATCCTAAACCACAAATCACTGAAGGGTTTCAGCTGGTGTTGGTGCCCAAGGAATTAGTCCATTCAGAGAGTTTGTGTTCTGAAACACTGAAAACATCCCATTCTCTCTAAGCATGTAGCTCCTATTTTAAAATCAGTGAAATATTAAGAGGTTACCTTGATCTATTCCTTCTGTTTTTTTCCTTTTTAAATTTAAAAGTGCATTTTGTTGCTCCTTCACAGCTTCCACAGGACAGTTGGGTCTTGGCAGCTGATTTCCTGGAGTGGGTCCTGGTCGGTTACTGAAATACTTCTGTTTCAATGCCTTAATGATAACAGAAGAAAAATAACCAAGTAATTAGCATTAAGTGTCAGAATACTATTTATAAAGAAGTTATAATGAAATAAAGCACTTGCTATTGGAACTTAAAAACTACTTGGACATTTTTATACTACAAGGTGGCCTTGGGGCAAATCAAGTGTATGTTCTTAATTACTATCCACCCCACTTAGATTTGGTAAAGCAAGGGATAGAGTAGTGTTATTTTCAGCTAGCACTCAGACATCCTAACAAAACTCTAGACTATTTTGCAAAAGGTCTTGTATAAGCAGTTTCTAGCTCTGAAGAGCTCACATTCTGAATAGACTGAATAGTCTTAGATGAGACAAGAGTCTCATCTGAGTAAAGAGTAAAGTAGGAGTAAAGAAAAATTAAAGAAAAATTAAAGGAATATATCTGAAGTCTTGATCAGATCCAGGACTTGGACACCAGCTGTTTTGTTAGCTTTTAAGATTTCTTTACTGCGCTGTTTCTACCCTGTAAACTGTGAGAAAGGCACAATTTCTATCGGAGCAGAAGACAAACATAAGAGAGCAAGGTTGATTTCATGTAGTGGAATTGCATATCCTATTTTAAATTTTAGGAACTTTACAGCTTCCATAAAGTGTGGTTAACAAAAAGTGGCTAAGGTGTTTCGTAGGCAATCATTACTCTTGCTAATGCCAGTTACATGATATTCAATGCTACTTATAAATGAAACCAATACTGTAAGCACAAGTTGTTTCCTGCCTTAAACTGTGGCATTGCCAATAAATAGTCTAGACTGGAAAAATACACTGTCCTACAATATGATCTGAAAAATCACTTCATACATATGAATTGGTGTCCCAAGCATAGCAGAACTGATAATTTGGAAACTTATACTGAATGTTCTTAAAGATAGTGGCCAAAAAAGTCTAAAGGTGCTCTGAAAAAGTCTTCTATAAAAAACCCCCATAACTTCTACACTAATCCCCTGGATTCAGATCTGCCTTGTCTAACCAGCAATGAGGAAGCCCTGGCCTTAAGGGGACAGTTCTGTTTCTTGCATGCCTCCCTAACAGTGTAAAGTGACAGAAATACACTTTTCAAACTGCCAACTGGTATATCTTCCTCGTTACAGAAATCAATATCACGAACTAGAACATTTTGCAAGATTTTCCTTTGAAGTCCTTCATTTCTCACCACCAGGGAGTAGTGAAAATGAAAGTATAATGGAAAAGGATATTTAGACGAGCATCATGGTTTAAAATCACTACAGAATTTCACATTAAAAAAGCATCATGGATGTTTAAATGAAATTGAAGAAGACACTGGATGAAGTAAGTCTGAAAATCTTTCAAACCCAGGGAATAGGATATGTTATGTTAAGACTTAACCTTCAAGCTTTAAGTGATTGAATTCCAAATGTCAAATACGACTGTCTAAAGGCGATGACTCATACACCTTTTAATTGTCTACACTGGGAACAGAGATGACCAGTTAGCATTATCCATGCCTTTCAGAGTTCTCTTTCTAAAACACTGAGATTAGGTTTTTGGAAATTCATGTAACATTTCATTTCAAACCTGGCTTACTGGCTTCAAAACACATTTATTTGATATTAACAGTAGGTTAATGAACATTAGGACATAACTCAAGTGTACTGTACCTGAGTAGCTGTAACCCTAGTGCAAGGATTAAATGTGAATAAGCCTTGAAGAAGATTGAGCAGATCATCACCAGCCGCACTGAAGATATGTTGAAGTGGCATTCCAGGGAAAGATTTAAATGTGACGTAGTCTGGAAGACTCGTCATCCCCTACAAAGACCAAAAATGGAATATATGTTTTTTACTTAAGAGCTCAGTTTTTCACAGAAAGTGAACTTCATATGGCTGTCTTTCAGCAGAAGCAAATCATCTTTCAAAACACCTTGCTAATACTTGGTCACTGAAATAACAAATGTAGAAGTAATGGGTCATAAAGACTTTTTTTTTCTCAGTAACTGTTCCAGTTGTTTTACACTTTCCCCTTCCAAATGATCTGTCCTTCCTTTGCTTTAGCAGTGACCAGGCCAAAAGGAAAAACTGTTAACAAAGAAAGGAAGTAAAAAAGGACTTTAGAGTGGATGCAGACAAATGAAATAAAGGTTCCTTTTGTGATCTGACATGGTGGGAGGGAAAATATTCACAAAAGAGCAAGTCTTTCTCCACATTAATAAAATTAACTGCAATTTGAGCTACTTTTGAAATGCACAACTGAAAATTTATATGGGCTGTTGGAGGAGGGAAGGAAAATATACACCAAGCAGTTAAACAGAAGATGAACTGCGTACTGTTTCTCCTGTAGGTATGAAATCAATACCATTGTATTCAAATTCTAGCATAAAAATGATCTGGTAACAATTATCCAAATGTAACATTTTAGTAGTATTTTAAGTATTTAGTCAACATGCGTCAGCAAGTTTGTCCAAGCAAAATAAAATAACAATGAAGTGAAAAATGTGCTCAATCAGTTACAATCTTGATAGTAGAGTTTTTAATTATTGAAATGCTTGGGCTTGCAAATTAACTTCGGGATGCATCATCTCTGTTTTGCTAGCCAATCTCTTATTCACTCCTTTCTCCACCCATATCTTAACTCTTCCTCTCCAAAGAAAGCAGAAATGTCACTGCAAAAACCTTTATGTGTTTCATTCAGAATCCCAGAGCAACAGCAGAATTGTTTGGGGCTAGCAGTGCCTCAATACAGTATTTCTCCATATGGCTACAGCTCCATTTCATGATCATGTACCATAGCATTCCAGTACAATTCACACAAAGGAAAAGCAGCATGGAGAGGGAGCAGAGGTTAACAAGTACAGTGAGTGCTTCCATAGCTCAACAACAATTCCTGATCAGGGAATTCAGAACTCCTGATGCAAGTTGCTCATCAGAAGTTATGCCCCACTTCCTGTCAGTCTGCTTAATATCCATAGTTAGGTAGGTCACTGTGTGTCCTGACAGTAAGTTTTGCCTAGTATTACTGAATTTATTGTCACTTCAGAGATAATTGTACTACTAATTTGTATTTGTTACTGTACTGTTGCTGAGACAAATTGTTCATCCCTAAAGCTGTTGGTCTAGTGTTTCTTACTGTATTCCAAACTATAACTTACCTTGGCCAACTTAGATCCCTATAAGTGGTTCCTACTTATGAAAGTCATGAAAGGACACAGAAAGGAAACCATAAAGTGTTGTTAATCTTGCTATTGACCAGAGGTTTGTCAAGAGAAACAGCAAATCTCAGCTGCTCTGTGAGATGAGGCAACTGCCTTCTGAAAATCTACTCAAGTATTCTGGTATAACCTTTCATTTAATTTCAGAAGTTAAAATAGAGAGTATCAAGTAAAACTAATGTCAGTCTGTTAAACAAAAGGACTCACAGGCCACTGCTCTTCTGTTGGAGTGCCCAGTGTTTCAAATATTCTTGTTAGCTGGTCAAGATCAGAGTCTCCAGGCAAAAAAGGAACCTAGAAGGTAACAGCATGTGATTTAATTAACTTCTGAACTTCAGTTTTAGAGTGGAGCTTTGAGTGATCACTCATAAGTGCAGGGCAAAACACTTCTGTATACCATCTCTCCACAAAGAGCTACATTGAATATTGAGGCATTCTACTGATGTCCAAGTAGATTCTGAAAGTTTCTTGAACCTGGGCTTCATAATGTTGACTTGACAGCAGGGAACTAAACATAAAATTACACAACCACATTAATGTAAAATAACTAAACACAGGAAAGATTTTGCATCTTAGTTGTCAAAGTCATGATAATCCTTCCATCATATGTTCCCTGAAGTTAGCTTTTATGTATATATTCAGTACGTTTAAAGTGAATTGTAACTGGATTACAGAAGTTAGACTGAGGAAATGAGATTTAAGCATGAGGGAGACTAGAGACTCACTAGAATAGAAAACTGTCTTATCAGTATCACATGTTATTTAAACTAAGCAGAAGACTGAAAAGGGGGTATCTGCCCAGTTCAACTTGAACCTTGCACACCCTGCACACAATGGAAGTAAAAAGAAACTTTGTGACCAAAGCAAATTTATAAAGAATTAGAGACAGCGTTTAACTAAGCAACACAGAAATACCCACACTAAACTTTGGCATCATGAAAACCCCTTAAACATAAACTGCTTTCATAAAGCTCCCAGAAGCTGCATTGTCCTGAAAAAGGACAGATACATTTAAAAACACCACAGTGATAAAACTGAACCATAATACATTTTCTACTTTGTGAAAAACCAAAGAATCAGTTCAACAATTTATTTGAATTCAACAATTCAATAAATTCAACAACTTATTTGTCTTCTCACTTTGCTTAAATTTAATCACTTTACCAGGTCTAATGCATATTTATGTAAACATCACTAGTGTTCATTAAGCAGCCAATATGTATTTCCCTGTCTGAGCTGCCAACCAAATCGCACCAGCATACCTGTTTGGTGTGGCAAACGAAGGCAAAGGATTTCTTTTGAGGTGTTTTCACACAGACTAGTTCTCCAGTCTGGTTATGAGACAGCCAAAAAAAGCATTCCAAGTATGGTGAAGAAACCAAGCAGAAGCGACTTAGTCATGGAAGATAAATGATACTGCAGGCTACTTTGTGCCTTCAGCTGTGTCTGTCCCCTGCCCTTCACTCCCCCCCTGACACTTTCATGTCTTCTCCAAAGAGCTGTATAGTAAACAGTCTAGTTCAATAAAACATACTTAAAGACCATGACATCTGTGTACCATACAGAGGAGTGCCATAGGATTATCATAGCGTTAACCTTCAGCTTCATTCTAGTATTGTCAACTAACCTCATGGCTAGGCTTCACGAACGAAGATTTAGGAAGGCTCTATCCACATTTGTTACAGGCACGCTGGTGGCTTATGAGGCCAATACGTGACAGACATATCCGATTGCAAAAGGCACAGCAGAAAGACTCCTTAGATGGTGTATTCTGCAAGACACAGTTCTTTCTGCGTTGTCTTTTTTTCCTCGAGAGTGATCCTGCGTGTGTTCTCAAAGGAGACAGCTGCGTTATAGATGGTGTGTCTCCAGGCCTCCCGATTTGAGGCCAGAGTAGACCAGTTATGGTGATCAGTCTGGCCAAGGCTGAGATGTTGTTTCAGGGAGCCCTTGTATCTTTTCTTCGGGGCTCCTCTCATGCGGCAGCCAGTGGCAAGTTCACCATAGAGCAAGATCTTAGGGAGGCGGTGGTCCTTCATCCTGGAGACGTGCCCGGTCCATCGCAGCTGTGTTCTCAGTAACATGGCCTCAGTACTTGTGACTGCTGCTTGTTCTAGAACAGATGTATTGGTCACATAATCTGACCAGTGGATGTTTAGGATTGTACAGAGACAGCGTTGATGGAAGCGTTCTAGGAGACGCAGGTGGTGGCGGTAGATGACCCATGATTCAGAACCGTATAAGAGAGTAGACAGCACAATGGCTTTGTAAACACTGATCCTGGTGTTTTTCTTCAAGTGTTTATTACGCCATACTCTTTTGTGGAGTTTTCCAAAAGCACTATATGCCATAGCTAACCTGTTGTCTATCTCTCCGTTGGTCTTACCATCTGAGGAGATGAGGCTACCAAGGTAATTAAACTGTTGGACTGATTTGAGCTCTGATTGGCCAATGGTGACATGGGGATGATGGGGGACCTCCTGAGGTGCAGGTTGATGGAGGACCTCTGTCTTCTTTAAGCTGACTTCCAGCCCAAAGAGCTCAGCAGCATCTGCAAAGCAGGATGTTAAATGCTGCAGAGCTGCTTCTGTGTGGGCAACAAGGGCGGCGTCATCAGCATAAAGCAGCTCCCGGACAAGATGGTTTAAGGTCTTGGTGTGGGCCTTCAGGAGCCTCAGATTGAATAGACTTCCATCAGTACGGTATCGAATGTAGATACCGTCCTGATCATCGAGGTCTGCTGTGGCCCTTTGGAGCACCATGCTAAAGAAGACGGTGAATAGGGTAGGAGCGTGATCATCTCACTCCATGAGGATCAGCACGGCCAAGTCAGATATGGCAACACACTTTCTGTCAACTAACCACAGTTTAGAAAAAACATTGATCTTCTGTTCGTTATACATAAACCTACAATTAAGGTGTGGCGATTATAATTTGCAGTTAGTGAGAAACAATGTATAAGGAACAGTGTATGCATGTATCTAGGATGTCACATTTCTAGAGGGCTAGGAATGAAACTCATAGAAGGCTGTGTGAAACTGTAACACTAAGAGGACTGGAAGAGTTACCTGCTTGGCATCTCCCAAGGCAAGACTGTGACAGTTTGTTGCAACTTTTTTACCCGTTTTGAAAAACTTCCAATGCTTGTGGATGCTAATAAAACCTCAGTCTATTGCAAAACTTCACTTTCATTACAGTTAACAAGGTTTTGGAAACTTTCTTCTGCCCTAACTGTCTTTACCTGCTAATGTTAGCAGGAGAGAAGCAGCCCACATAAAAAGCTGTAGCGCACTAAAGAGCAAATACAAAATGCTTACATTTGAAGACTTACCCTGAGGAGCAGTTCAGCTAAAATACAACCAACAGCCCACATATCAACACCAACACCATACATTCTAGCCCCAAACAATAGTTCTGGGGCTCGGTACCATCTGAAAAGAAAACACATTTTGGGAAAATCACCTGGCTTTGCTCATGTCAAATGCTGTATATTGTAGCAATGCAAATACTAAAAAGAGGATGCTGCCTCTGCCTATATACTTTTCAGACACTGAAGAGCTGTAGTCTACCCCACAACGTGTTTTGTTTAAGAAAGACTGAAAAAATTTGTGCATTCCTCACCACAGGGTCACATGCAACCACAAATTAACTGCAGTTTCAACTGAGCTGATTACAAGCAATGGAATTGCAGACATGCCAAGGAAGAAAGTTTTTAACTTGAAGGTTTGCAGGTTATAAAACAAAATTTTCTTAAAATTTTATGTTGAAGGAATGACAGCAAGACAAAACTCCTTCCAGCTTCCAAAAATCTCCAAATCAACAAACCTAAGTACTGAGGCTAGCTTTATGCAAAATGAGCTTTGTTGTTTAAAAGAGCTACTTAACACTGCCTAGGAACAATTAGGTTTAATGCAATGACCTGATACACAAACTGCTCTTGAAACTACTGTGGAATTTCTGCCCTTTGAACAAAGATGTTAAAACAAACCAGCTTTGCACTAATACTTTTAACATTACAGCAGTCAGAAGGAAACACGTTGCACGTTTTGCAGCCCTGCTTTTTAAAGTATACTTTAAATAAGCATGCTATAAAACCCATTAATAAATATTTTAATTGGTTCAAGTGTTTGTCTCATAATAGGTAATGTGACTAGCTACAAAAATGGTTCTAGGTCTTGTGATTAACAGAAAGTAGCAGCTGTCTTGCTCCCAAAACCAGGCTTACAGGAAGATACATATTATTTCCATATATTTCAAGAGTATCATACCAAAGAACAACTCCCAGGGATGCATATTGTAGCAGTTCTTATGGAGATTTTGTTAAACAATGCTTCCCTGCATGTTCTTTATGAGGCTCTTGCCACATAACATGAACTACATGCTACTCTTTGAATATGTTGATATGACATGAGAGAAGTGCCAAGAGACACCTACAAAACAACGAAATAATCTCTGTCTAAGAAACAAAATAGAATGTCTTACCTTGTTACTACCTGGTGTGTATAAACTCTATTTGGGCTACCAAAAGATTTTGCCAGGCCAAAGTCAGCTAATTTTAAAACCCCATTTTCATCTAATAGCAAGTTATTTGGTTTAAGATCCTGTCAGTAGAGAAAGCAAATAATGAATTTTGTCAGTATTGATAAAAGCAGACATATAATGAATCTCCTAGCAGATGTATCATAAGAGTATTCTAAAATGAAAGCTTTTGATTCTATGTGAAGTCTACGTTGTTAGAAAAAAATAATAAAACATCGGAAATTGAGTATTTAGTCATAGAGGAAAATCATAGTGAGACACACCAATTTGAATATTAACACATTTAAGCTGCACACTATAAAAAAGCCACTTCATAGGTTTTAGCTTTGCTGCAGGACCGACAGTTTTGTTAACCACATAGATGCCAACTGAATAATAAAAAGACCTTGCAAATGTTTCAAATAACTGCAGAAATTATGGAAGTCATACAGTTTAATACAGTAGCAGTGTGTTGTTGGGTTGACCCCTGGCCAGTAGAGAAGCATCCACATAGCCATTTGCTCATTCCATTCTCATGCCAGAAGCCCAGGCAAAAGAAGACCAAAAGCAAGAACACTCTAGGCACACTATAAAGGCAATTTAACAGGTGAAGGAAAGAGGAAAAAACAAAAGCAAGCAATGCAATGGAAATCATTCACCATCTCTCACAAGCAGACGGATACACAAAACAGTCTCCAAGAAAGAAGCAACCTGGAAGGCAAAATCCTCCCTTTTTCTCTAACCCAGGTTTTTACTAATGATCATGGCATTATATGGCATGCAATATCCCTAAGGACAACTTGGGTCAGCTGCCCCAGCTGTGTCCCCTCCCCACTTCTTGCCCACCCCCAGCCTATGCATCGGGGCAAGGGCAGGGTGGAAAAAAGAGAAAGCCTCAACAGTTCACCTGCTGTGAAAAAAGTTCAATCCATCCCAGCCAGACCCAGTTCACAGTGATAATTCACATCTAACTGGAGAACCTTTTATATAAGTATCTAAATGAAAATTGCATCAGTAATTCTTAACATTTCTGGTACTTCTATTGTCTCTACACGTAATATGAAAGCATATGGAGTGAGAGTGCCTGAACTCCAAAACTACTTTCATCAGACTTTAGACTCAAACTTTATCCCATGTGAGTTTTGTTACAGCATAAAGGCTGTCAGTTTAGTACATGCTTACCCTGTGTAAAATCCAGTGCTGATGCAGATATTCTAATCCTTGAAGTGTCATCAGCATATATGCCTTGATGTGAGACTGTGTCAACACAATACTTGTATCCTTTATAATAACCTGTAAAGTTTTAACGTGACAGTAAAGCTCAACACACAAGATAAACTTATTACCATTCTTTCAGCTCAAAAGTTATCTCAGGCTCAAAGAAAAATTTCAAACAGCAGTCACAAATTCTCTATCATTCTCACTCTTTTTCCAGAAATATAGGTCTATTCTGGAGATCAGAAATTCAAATCCAGAGCCCAGATAGCCTACATGAACTCTTCCTAGGTCAGAGGGACCTCTCTGGAATTCCCAAGACAGTTCAAAAATAATTGAAGGAGGTTGTGCAATGACATCATCATTCTGGGATGAATCCTATCAGGCCCCATACATTTGCAGGCATCCAGCTGGAGCAGCAGATCCCACGCAAGTTCAGGGACAACTTGGAGTTGATCATTCTCACAGTCATGGGTCTCCAGCTCAGGGCACTGAGACCCCCTTGGTCCATCATCCGTGTTGAAGACAGAGGCACAGAAAGTGTTAAACACCTCTGCCTTGTCCCTGTCCCTATTTGTGAGGTGACCATCCTCATCCTGTAATGGGCTGGTGATATTTCTACACTGCCAGTTACCATTAATGTATTTGAAAGAACTCTTTTTATTGTCCCCCACATTTCTGGCCAGCTTCAACTCCAGCTGAGCTTTGGCAGCACAAATTTTCCCCCTACAGCACCAAGCAGCATCTCTGAATTCTTCCCGTGTCACTTGACTTTGCTTCCACTGGGCATATACACCTTTCCTTTTTGCCTTATTTCCAAGAGAAGATTCCAGCTCAGCCAAGCCAGCCTTCTGCCTCACCTGCTTGATTTCCGACATTTGGGAATTGCTGCTCCTGTGCCCTACGAAGGTGAACTTTAAAAAGTGACCAGCACTGATGGATCTCAGCACCAGCAAAAACATTTTCTCAGGAGACTTTCCCAATTCCATGAGCAGCCTGAAGTCCACTCTCCTTCATGTCCAGAGTTGAGGTTTTGCTGGCACTTTTATTCCTGTCAACAGAGATTTTAAACTCAATCCCTTTGCGGTTCCTGTGGCGAAGATGGCCACCAATCTCCAGTTTGCTCACAAGATCCGCTCTGTGAACAAACAGCAGATCGAGGAGGGCATCTTTCTGAGTCAGCTCCCTTAGGACTTGTTCCGGGTTTTTTAGGAATTTTCTGGCCCAGGTTGTACCAGGTGTGTGATGCTCTCAGGTAATTTCTGGCAAGTTGAAGTCCTCCATAAGGACCAGGGCAGTTGACTTGGAATTGTGCTTAGTTCCTCCAAGAATAATTCATTGGTGTCATCATCCTGGCTGAGAGGTCTGTAGCAGATTCCCACAATGACATCCACATTATATGCTGGCCCCTTGATTCTTACCCAGAGGCTCTCAACTGTGCCACTGCCCACTGTGAGCTCCATACATTCTAACACTTCTATTACATACAGTGCCACCTCTCCACCTCTTCTGCCCTGTCTATCCCTCCTAAAGAGCCTGTCACCATCCAGCAGGGCACTCCAGTCTAAGAATTCATCCCACCGGGTTTCACTTACACCAATGATATCAAATCTCTGGCATTGTAGCCAACACATCATGAACTAGATTGAGAGATATCATTAGTGCTTGTTTCCTCACCATCCCATGGTTTATCACTGGCCTGTGAGCCTGGTCTTGTCCCTTTACCCTTTCCAATCTTGTTTAAAGCTGTAACAAGCCCCACTAGTTTCTGTGTTTCAGGGCTTCCCTCAGTACCCAGGGCTTTCACCACCACCATAACAGATCAGGACTACAACCACCACTTTGACCAACAAACATCGGAATTGCAACAACCAAGTCTCATTGGTGGATCCAACAGGTGTCTTGTGGGTCTTTCCAGTCTCCTGGGGGATCCACAGCCCTGCTCCAACTGCCTCTACTGGCACTGCAGCCTTACTCCAGCACCACGCAAGCATCTCCTGGTATTAAATCCCAGCTATCCGCCATTTCCTGACAGCACTGACTCTTCAACCATTCCTGCCAGGTTTTCTGGGTGTGGGGATGGCGAAACACATGGAGGGGCGGCCATCTGGTCTCTGTCCTGTGGCCACGTGTGTTTTTTCCAGGTTGAGGAGGCTGGCTGCCATCTTCATTTGGCCTGGTGGGCAGAGCTTGGGGAGTTTCTCCTCATCAGTTGGTTTAAACCAGTTATATCAGTATTGTTATTAGCATTTCTTCTTGCTAAAGAGGTACTTTTTCACTTACATCCAAGTGTATTTGGTCTCTCTGTACTGGAGAAACCAGGGGTATTGAATCCAAGGGATAAGATTTCTTTCTGAGGTCTCCACTCCTCCAAATTGTCTCAAACCAAGACACACAAAAACGATAAATGTGTCACTGAACTTGAAATTATGTTCCCAGTTATTCCTTCTTTCTTCATGCAACCTAAGCAACTCATCTTTGTATTTACAACAGTCTCCTCTTCTATCTCCACAAAGACCAGGAGGTATGGCCACTTCACTGAATTTTAAAAAAAATACACAAGTTTTCTACATTCTTTGATTTTTAACGTTAAAAATCTATGCAAACACCCTGTTTGAAAGAATTTTCTCCACTATTCCTCAAAGCCTGCTTGTTAATACTAGTGTCCTGTTCAGTAATAGTCTTTCATAAGCTTTAAGCTGTTTGAGACTTATAAGAGACCTAAGACTGCACAAATTTCATGTATGCTACAATGCTTAATCACAACAGGCTGCAGTCCCAATGGCAGCCTGAGTGATATCACAATACAGTTTAAATGCTTCGTGTACCAGAGCATCACGTAGTACAAGAGTATTTCATTCTTCTTTGTATACTGATCTTCTTCAGCTCTAAATGTTGCATAGTTACTATGTAAACAGCATAAATCCTCTAAAAGTCTACTCTTTACTAACGTCTATTAGCATAACCTGATCTAACCTTTTCAAGTCTTGCATTCATCTAGGTTTCGGCAAGCCTGTCAGTACTTCCTTTTAATAATTCAAATGCTATCTCCAGTTCTTAGCAGCATATATATAATGAGCTAGCTTAACAACTACATTAATTTCAGTTCAGAGTAGGTATCTTGTGTGCATACACAGATCTGTCATGCATTGCTGTCTAGGACAGTCTTCCAAAAATGAAGATTCTCACATCGAAATGTCTCATACAAAGACTTAGGCAAAGACAAAGGGATTTTTGGTCTTGGAGAATGAAACATCTGTAAGATATTGATTTGCAATTACCTAGCATTACTACATTTGAAAAAAAATGTTTCAGGTACATGCAATTTTAATACCAGCTCATCACCTGGTATATTTCAGTAGCACACTTACCCGGACATATTTGATATTATGTTTAGCAATTGCACTCCAAGAAGCTGATCTATGACTGAGATTCTATGCTCTGACTGGAGTCACAGAAAACTAACATAGTAAACACAATGTGTTTCTTGAAGATCATGATGACAAGTATTTAATAGTAAAGGAACTAGTCAAACAAGAAGTCACAAAAACTGAAATTACTCAAACTACTATTAAGACAATCTTCATTAACTAACATAATCAAAGTCACCTTTCTAATATGGGCAAATATAAGCCTGATAAAATAGCATTTTCAGAAACCATCTGAAGATACTGAAAAAAAAAGTCTTTAAAAAAATCTTACCTCTAGATCTGTTTCCATAAAATCAAACACCAAGCTGATATTGGACTTGTGTCCAAATGCATCTATGAGCTGCAAAACAAAATACACTATGATTAAGCATGCTCTCATGTTTCCAGTTTTCTGAAATTCAGCATCACTGTAGACTGTACGTGGATTTTCAGCTTTCTGAGAATTGGTTTAAGCTTTTTGATTTGCAACACAAAAAATTCTTACTCAGTTCAGCTACTTAACTCAGTCTTCAAAAACTCAGAAAAAACTCCCCATTAAGTATGGTAATAACATTTTACACCACAATTGCCCCTCCTCCCTGGAGATAGGAAAAAAGAGAAAGAATTAACTTTATCTTACACTACAACCAGTGTATTGCACACCTTGTCCTCTCCCCAAACTTCGCTGTTCTACAAAACTTGTACTCTTTATTGGGTACATGACTTGGCCATGGATTTTGCCCATGGATTCAACTCTGGGTATCTGCTTCATGTACGTATTCTAAGTGTTAGGTTTATTAACTTCCTTTCAGATATTCTTAGGCGTGTATTCATCTTTGTAGCAATCTTTCCAGCAAAAATAAAACTCTCTGGAGAATATCCAAACAGTCCTTTCTTAGGAAGAAGTTGTGTAATGACAGAATCAGTTTTTAGTTTGAGATAACACAAGCATGATGCTGAGTGAAAACAAAGAGATTAGCTAGCCTGGTATTCAACCTTCAAGCTGTGGAAGGTACGAGCTCCACGGTGCAGATTATTCCCTAGTGTGATGGCCACGTGAACTGCCCAATTGCAATACAGTCGTTTAAACAGTCCATAACAACAGTGACTGTGCCCCTTGTGCTCCCAACATCCACAGAAGTTTTGTGAGGACTACTAAGGGGGCACAACATCGTCTATTGCTTTTAGCACCTGCTTACAGAACTGCTGATCATAAATTTGCCTAACTCCTTTTTGAACTGCTGATGCTATTTGCTTCTACAACGCCCCAGTCAACAGATTCTAGAAATTCATTACACACTGAATCAAGCCGTACAATTTCCACTCCCACTGCAAATATATTTTAAACACATCTCTTATTTTTAGTGCTACAGGGTTTGGAAATACCAGCTCTGCAGGGACTCCACCTACCACCTCAGTTTTGTAGACCTTTCCATTCCAAGCCTTTTCCCTTCCAGAATGAGGAATCCCTGACTTTTTCATAAAGAAGATGGTCCATCTCTTTGCCATTCTAGTTGTCCTTCCCTGCATATTCTCTAACTTTGATAGCTAAAGCAACCACTTTGAAAATAAGTTCACAATCCAGAAGAAAATTATACTTCCACTCTGAAAGAGTTAAAGTATCTGGAAAATTTGTATTTGGTCTAATATTTATGTAAGACTTTGTAATTATCGCTATGAGTTAACTTCAAAATATCTTTAGCTCCAGTTGAATACCTGTAGCTGTCAATTTATCAAAATGCAACTGAAACAATACTGATTTTACTCCTTCCAACAGAGATTTTAAACATCATATCTGTGTGCTAAGGCCTAATAAGCCACATGATCTTCCCTTTACCATTTCTTATGAAAGCCTGCTTTTGATTGTCTCCAGTTCCATATGAAGCAAACGATCAGGTAAATTCAGCACTGCATTCATTTGCAATTCTCTCAGAGAGATGCAAAATCAGGTAATCTAAATTTCCACAATTCTTCCCACCATTAATATCCACACAGCCCCCAGCTGAAAAGTGAAAGGATTAAAAAAACCTAATTTGCCTTTGTTATTGAAATTGGCATTTTGCCATTATAATTGTTGTACTGCCTACCTAGGGCTGGGGAAAAAAACTTAAATAACATTAAGGAACAGCTCCATGACCCAACTAGTTTTGAATTTCAGTCTGAACCTGTACCAAAAATATTTGAGGACTGATTCTAAAAGGAGCATTCATTTTACTTACACCAATAATATTTGGATGGCTTAGCTCCTGTAACAGCTTTATTTCCCTGAGGGCTGTCCTGTTGATTCCTACATTGATGGGAAGAAAAAAGAAGATGAAAGAACAAAACAAAGCTGGATTAAGCTCCAAATAAATGTCTTGTTCTGTTACTCACTGACTATTTACTACTACAAATTACATTCTCACCACTCAACAATTCGTTAAATAACAAGTACATTGCCATAAGTAAGTAAATTGCTGCAGAATAAAAGTTGGCATACGTTTTCTTCCACAGCACATACATTTTACACCACAGTAATCCAGTTTAGACTATGAAGCAACAAGTCTCCCTTTTGGGAAAAAGGGAAAGTCCTAGCAAAAGCCTAGGGGAAAAAAAAAGATCACCTTTTACATGGTACTGGAAGGCTTGCTTTTATTTAAAAAAAAGGGTTTATCTTGCAAATATCAGTTCTTCAAAATATCTCACTTTCAGAGGAAGGCATACTAACAAAGCCCATGAATAAACTTTTCTTTTTGACACAGTACTGTTTAATAACACAAGACATCTGTTTTTCTACATTCATGCTGTGGTATAAATAAGGCATAAAAGGTAATTGACCAAAACCTGCTTGCCCTTGTTTGATTCTTTTCATAGCCAGATTTTACAGAGGAAAAACCAGAGGATGATGGGGGCGAATGGTGCGCTTTGGCAGTCACACTGATTGCACTGCATCAAACCATGATTCCTGCAGGGTACAAATTCCTCCTTGAAAAGTGCTTATATATGTGGCTTGTATGAAATCTCACAGGCAAACGGTGGTACGTCATACAGGAAGATTTAGCTGCACATGAGCTCAAAATCAGTGTTCTCCTAAAACCTAGGATAAAATTCAATGATAATTTCTGGCATTGAAAGTTTTGGGCAAAGCTACATGGATTCCTTTACACTCCTGCTTTCCCTGTTTTAATTACCTATTTTGGAATCAAGTTGACAATGGCTGCTTTTGGGTGGGCAAAGACTCAGATGATTAAAAAAAAAAAAAGAAGCATGCCATGTTATAACACAGGGAAAGCAGATATAATCATTATTTTCGATAACATCTTTCAATTACAGCTAGACACTATACAGGCCAAAGCAATAACTGCCCCTAAGGGCCATTAACCCACTGAAGGCCAGTTGGATCATGACTCTTGGGCAGCCAGCTCAACTGTGAGACTCTGTGATGAGTTTAGAAGGTTTTTTTCCATAGAATGGAACTGGAGAGTTGATAGCAAAGATTGTTCACTGAAAAGCTGGTGACCTGATGCAGGATCCCAGAAGGACAGCAGCCTGCACACAAACAAAATTCTACTACACCACACAAGCTGTAAAAGAAGACCAAGATTAGTGAGTTTTAATTTGTAATATCCATGCCTAGAGGCAAGTGGCTGATCAGAGCATACACTCTACAGTGCTGAACATCAAGCAAACTCACATAGAGATAAAAGTTTTAAGATTTTGTCTTTAACAGAACAAAGAAAATACCTGAAAACAGACGCAAATACTCTCACCCATCTTAAAAATTTAAGAGATGCATTAATACAAAGAGGTATTTTAAACTCAGTGCTGGTGCCGTTATTATTTTATGCTAGATTCATGTCTATATTCCACTAAAATTGAGAAGCTAAGCAGTTAATACTCATATTTAGATATACACCATGCATGCAGGTATCTTTTGTGTGCCCCTACAGTTTGCAAAGCAATCCTCTGCTAGCCTTACACTGGTCACTGAGCTCATTTTTCCCAGATAAGGTATGGTATGTGAAATTAATGTACCAATTTATGAAAACAAAGCAAACAAAGCACAGCTTCTACAGCAAGAATTTGTTTTAAAACTCACCATCTTTAGCTTCCGATCTATGCCCCAGTTTAATCTGAAAATAAATGTTTCATATTATATAAGATTAAGACATCTGCCCCAACAGTGGGGAACACATTCTTTACCATTACTCTTGTAAGACAGAATGAGTTTCAGCATAATGAAGCACTTTACCAGCTAGGTTGCTTTTAGTTGTTTTGGGGTTTTTTTTCCTTAAAAAAATAACTGTTCTTACAGCATTAGTTTTTACAAAAGCTTAAAAATAGCCATGATGGCACTGAAAGCAGATATAATGCAAACTGACTGCATAAAATGCTTCACAGCCACAAAGCTTTATTATATCACTAATGAGTTTCTTCTCAGGGAGAAATGAGAGCTAAGTAATTGACAATCATCTTAGAATTATTCTAGTAAAATTAGCACAGGCTGTAAGCTTGGGCTGTAAACTGGACAGTCCTTCTGCCTCAATCATCTACTGCCTGAAATTTCGAGTCCAGAATCCCACCATGGATATTTCCAGATGACAAAAGTTAAAAAAATATTCTGATAAAACCAAGAATGCTTTTCAGAACAGCTGCTACCAGTAGCAATCATACAATAGAAGTATCACAATGCTAAAAGGGATTAGTGCATTAAACAAAATTACTTACTACTGATACAATTCAACTTGCTGAGTAAAGTAGGGTCTTTAACTAAAAAAAAAAAGTGCTGAAATGTGCATTTTTGTCCTTCACAAAGCATAGCTGAAGATTCATTTTTAATACAAAACCTTCCTGCAAAAGTGAAACACTTTATGACAACATAAACATTTTCATCATTTGTATCCAAACAAGTATGTTGCAGATCCAAGATCACTTTGATATTTTATCAGAAAACTACCATATGGGTAAGAGACATTACTGGAAAACTCTCAAGTCTAGTTAGGCCTTCTCATTACTATCCATTATTGGCTGCTCAAACTGGCAGCAATGAAATAAAAAAGAGAAGTCCGAGGGCAATCAAAAGAGAGACTTCAGGGCCCTGGAACGATTGGTTGCAGGATCAAGAGCAGAAGTAGTGATTTTCTTGATCCTTCTGGTAACAAGGAATAATATTGATAGGAATAGGCAGATCCATCAAGTCAATGAGGTTGGTGTAACCACAAAAATTTTTGGTTCTTTGAGTATGGGATGATCCACTCAACACCTCATCTACTGACACCTGATGAGATGCACCTATCTCAAAGGGGACAAAGAGTTCTAACACAGGTGCTAGTGGGGTTCACTAATAGAACTTTAAACTGGCTTGGAAGGGGGAAATGGATAAGACCAGCCTCACAGGCCAGTGATGAGCCATGGGATGGTGTGCCAAAACCTAAGAAACGAGCACTAAGGGCATCCCTCAATATGCTTCACAAGGTGTTAGCCACAAAGTACCACACCTGAAATGTTTCTACACTAATGTACCCAGCATGAGGAACAAACAAGAGGACTTTGAAGATTCGTCCCAGTCTCAAAGATCTGACATCACTCGCATAAGTGAAACCTGGTGGGATGAATTCTGAGACTGGAGTGCCCTGCTGGATGGTGACAGGCTCTTTAGGAGGGATAGGGCAGAAGAGGTGGAGAGGTGGCACTGTATGTAACAGAAGTGTTAGAATGTATGGAGCTCACAGTGGGCAGTGGCACAGTTGAGAGCCTCTGGGTAAGAATCAAGGGGCCAGCATTTTGGACAAAGTGTCCAGTATACAGCTGGATAACCGTGTTACAAGATGGTTGAACATCTGGCTTATGGGTTGGGCTCAGAGGGTAATAGTGAATGGCGTTACATCCATTCACCAGTGGGGTTCCAGAGGGCTCCATCCTCGGTCCATTTCTCTTCAACATCTTCATAACAATTTGGATGCAGAACATAAGGAATACTAAGTAAGTTTGCCAGTGACACTAAATTGAGAGGAGCTGTTGACTCCCTCGAGGGCAGGCAGGCCCTGCAGAGAGATCTCGACAAATTAGAGAGACGGGCAATCACTAACTGTATGAAGCTGAACAAGGTCAAGTGTTGGATTCTGCACCTGGGATAGGGCAACTCCAGATGTATGTGCAGACTGGGGAATGAGATGCTGGAAAACAGTGCCCTGGAAATGAACCTGGGGGTCTTGGTCGATGGCAAGTTGAATGTGAATCAGCAGTGCCCTGGCAGCCAGGAGGGCCAACTGTGTCCTGGGGGGCATCAGGCAAAGCATCATCAGCTGGTCGAGGGAGGGGACTCTCCTGCTCTGCACTGGAGCGGCCTCACCTTGAATATTGTGTGCAGTTTTGGGTGCCACAATATAAGAAAGATATTGAGCTCTTAGAGAGCATGCAAGGGAGGTTAACGAATATGGTGAAAGGCCTTGAGGGGGAAGCCATATGAGGAATGGCTGAAGTCACTTGGTGTGTTCAGCCCAGAACTGGACACAGCACTCCAGGTGAAGCCTCACCAGGGCTGAGTAGAGGGGTAGGATCACTCCCTCGACCTGCTAGCAATGCTCTTCCTAATGCACCCCAGGATACCATTGGCCTTCCTGGCCATAAGGCCTCACTGCTGGCTCATGGACAGCTCGCTGTCCACCAGGACCTCCAGGTCCTTCTCCACAGAGCTGCTTTTCAGCAGGTCAGCCCCAGCCTGAACTGGTGCTTGGGGTTATTCCTCCCCAGGTGCAGGACCTGCACTTGCCCTTGCAGGTCTCTTCTCAGCATATTATACGATTCTCTAAGTTCTAAGGAACTTAATCATAAGTAACACTATGGACCGAAGGAAATTAGGCACAGCATGAGGAAAGATTTAAAATAAAATAAAATTTAAAAAAGCCACTATCAAGGTCTAGTAAAGTCTACAGTTTGGAAATGTGTGTGTGTTGCTTGGTGTTTGGTTTTTTTGGGGGAATATACCTAATAAATACCAGAAATTCAAGTTACAGGTCATACAGCCTTTCAAAAACAGCAAAGCCACTCTCTCTTCCGGGGTGGGGTGTGCATTACAGACACGTGAACTAGATCATTTAAACCAAACACTCTGGAAACAAAAATGCATATTATCCCACTACCCATTAAGGCAGTTAAAAAAAAAAAAAGTCGTTACGCAGGTCAAGAGGAACCAGACCCTTAGTGACACACTGAGAAGACACTCTGACACTCACCTTCTTAATAGCCACGATTCGGTTACTGGTCTTGTCCCTGGCCTTATAGACAGTGGCGAACTAGCGAGAGGGAGAGAGAGAGAGAGGGGAGGAGAGAGAGAGAGGGGGAGAGAGATGCTGCCGTGAGCAGGGCTGACGGGCCGTGTGAGGGGAGGCCCCCACGCACCCGCAGGCCCGCCCGTGCCCCGCTCCCGCCGCGGCCACATGGGCTGCTCACCTGCCCCTCCCCCAGGAAGTCGAGCTTCTCGTAGCGCCTGGCGCGCGCCCGCGCGTCCATTGCCGGCGGAATCCGCAGCGCGGGCGCTGAACCACCCACAGGCTCGAAGAAGCCCCGGGATCTGGGGATCCGGGGCGGTGCTTTGACCCCGCGGCCGCGCCGCTTCCGGCCCCCGCCCCGCCCCGCCCCGGCCGAGGGTGGGGCGAACGCGCCACCATTTGGGTGCGGGTCCGGCAGTCTTCTCGGGAATACTTCGGGCTTGTCGCTGTACGTGGTTGCTGAAACAGTCAAGAGGTTGTCCCAGAAGCTGCTTCTGTTTTGATCCCAGTCTCAGGTCTGCTTTCGGAGAAAACTCCGCATACTCTCTGCATAGAGAGAGTACTTTTGTTACGCAATCATGGCTGGGCTTCGCAAACGAAGATTAAGGAAGGCTCTATCCACATTTATTACAGGCGCGCTGGTGGCTAATGAGGCCAATACGAGATAGACATATCCTATTGCAAAAGGCACAGCAGAAAGACTCCTTAGATGGTGTATTCCACAAGACACGGTTCTTTCTGCATTGTCTTTTCTCCTCGAGAATGATCCTGCCTGTGTTCTCAAAGGCATCAGCAGTGTTATAGATGGTGTGTCTCCAGACCTCCCGATTGGAGGCCAGAGTAGACCAGTTATGGTGATCAATATGGCCAAGGCTGAGATGTTGTTACGCAATAAACCCATTATTATTGTTTAGAAGGAGTGCTCTCAGCCACTTTATTAGATTTTACTGGAAAATCTTAATTATACTCTTAACACATCTTCCTTATGAGCAATTATTTACAATATAGTTCTTAAAACTACCATTCAGTAGCTATCAGAGGTAAATACTTACTGAGAAGTTTCTCATTTGAAAATTAATTTCCCTACCTGCCTAAGCTTTTCTGTTCTTTACTAAGTTACTCTGTGAAGAACAGCCATCACTTCCGAGAGTACATCACTGTGCCTTTCCTACCTGTAAAATCATTCCCAGTGAATCATCCTGGTAAGTCAGCCTCACCTCAATTCCTGGAAAGGTGATTGAGCACCTCATTCTGGAGGCCATCCATATCTACATGGAGGACAAGAAGGTGATCAGGAGTAGTCAGCATGGGCTCACTAAAGTCATGCTTGACCAACCTGATTGCTTTCTGTGATGAAGCACCCTCTACCTAGATGGATGAGGGGAGAGCAGTGGGTATTGTCTACCTCAACTTCAGCAATTGGACACTGTCTCTCACAACATCCTCATAGGCAAACTCAGGAAGTTTGGGCTGGATGAGTGGACAGTGAGGTGGACAGCAGATCCCAGGGGATCACAATCAGTGGCACAGGGTCTAGATGGAGGCCTGTCACTAGTGGTGTCCCCCAAGGTTCAATACTGGACCCAGTATTGTTTACCCATGACTTGGATGAGGGGACAGATGCCTCCTCAGCAAGTTCACTGATGACACAAAGCTGGGAGGAGTGGCCAATACCCCAGAGGGCTGTGCTGCCCTTCAGAAGGGCCTTGACAGGTTGGAGAGATGGGCAGAGAAGAACTGTCTGAAACTCAACAAGGGCAAGAGCAGGTCTTGCACCTGGGGAGGAATAACTCCCTGCACCAGCACAGCCTGGGGGCCAACCTGGTGGGAAGCAGCTCTGTGGAGAAGGACCTGGAGGTCCTGGTGGACAGCGAGCTGTCCATGAGCCAGCAGTGAGGCCTTATGGCCAGGAAGGCCAATGGTATCCTGGGGTGCATTAGGAAGAGCACTGCTAGCAGGTCAAGGGAGTGATTCTACCCCTCTATTCAGCCCTGGTGAGGCTTCACCTGGAGTGCTGTGTCCAACTCTGAGCTCCTCAGAAAAAGAGAGACATGGAGCTCCTGGAGCAGGTCCAGCAGAGGGCTACAAAAGTGATGAGGGAAACTGGAGCATCTCTCTTGTGAGGAAAGGCTGAGGGAACTGGGCTTGTTCAGCCTTGAGAAGAGAGGACTGAGAGGGGACCTCATCAAAGTATGCAAGTATTTGAAGGGAAAGTGTTAAGAGGATGGATCCAGGCTCTTCTTGGTGGTGCTGAGCAATAAGACAAACAGTGACAGGCAAGAAACTGATGTGCAGAAGTTCCACCTGAATACAAGGAAGAACTTCTTTATTGTGTGAGTGACCGCACACGGAACAGATTGCTCAGAGAAGTTGTGGAGTCTCCCTCACTGCAGATATTAAAAAACCACCGGCACACAATCCTGTGCCATGTGCTCTAGGATGACCTTGCTTGGGCAGGGAGGTTGGACCAGATGACCCACTATGGTCCCTTCCAATCTTATCCATTCTGTCATTTTGTGATCTCAATCGGTAGAAAAATAAAATGACTGCTAAATTGTTGACTTTGCAAATGGCTGATTAAAAAAATATTTTAATTGTGCAGACATCATATATATTCAATTGCTAGTTACCCACCAACAGAAAATCCTTCTCGGTCACAAATTGGTATCTTATGTGTTGTATCAACTTTGTCACCCATCATATGGGTTTTTATTAAAGCTATTAGTATACAATAATTTTTAATATTAAGGAAATGCCTTTATTGTTAATATAGTAAGTACTTCATTCTTCAGCAGCGGCCAGCAACTGTCTTCTACACTTATTCTGGACCTCCACGCTGTAGAAGAAAAGCATACAGTTAAATTTTAATTCTATTGAATGTAAAACTGAGATCAAATCCTCTTTTGCACTACTGTAGACTAATAAAACTCTAGCTTTAATTTCTGATTGAAACATTGATTTTTTTATCTGTATAAGAACACGGAGTGTCAAATATCAGCATCTGCCAATAACAGTTCAATTTTTTTCAAAGGAGAATAAAAAAAAATTAACACATGCAACCCACAGTTACAGCTGCTTCCACTTCTCCATCTCTGAAGAGACCTGACTCTTACCCTAGAAAGGTCCAACAAACACAATGGTAGAGAACACAAGTTTTAAAATTACTCTCACTGCCCACATTCCAAAGAGCAAAGTAAAAAAAAAAAGCCAAGGTGAGCCATTACAACCTTTATGAGAAACTAGAAAATTATTCAGTTCATTATCTTCCCAAACAAATTATTTTACAATTTAACTCACTGTTAAGAAACTTTATGCTAGAGGTCAAGAAGTGTATTATTATTAGAAATACTGATTTTGTTTCTACTACATTGATGCAGCCTACTCACATACTTTAAGGAAAACTGATTTCCTCTACTAACATCATTATGCTGTACATGTCCTTATCATTTAATAAAGCTTTGCAAGTCTCTTTTTATTTCAAACTCACAATCACTTCGCAAATTCTGTATATTTTGTGCATTCAGTATATACAATTAAGAATTCTTATACAAGAAGCAGGCTTTTCTTGCCTTTCATGTACAATGCCATATTTGCAAATATTGTAGAAAATACTTATAACAAATTTAATAAAATTTTTTGCTACCAGAAATACAAGCTCATTTACTAACATGGAACTTAGAAAACTAGTTTGAGAAATATTTTGGACTTTGATTACCTGATAATAGCCTTTGCTGCTCTAAGAACAGACTCCTGTGCTCGTGTCCAGCACAGTCAAATTACATATTAAACAGCTATTATAAAGCAGGTAGTGATGGTGATTAACATAGGCTATGACTGTCGCTAGCTTACGTGCACGTCTGTTCTAAGTCCACATCTCTCTGCTCAGCAATACCACAAGCTACTAATCAGCGCGAGTTGGGTATCTTCTGTTTTAAGAGTTAGTAGCTTGGGTATTGTGCATCAAAGCCATGAAAGATCAGAGCAGTACCCTTCCCAATAATTAGAATGTAATGCCATAGAAGGAGGTGTAGAAATAAGCTAAAGAAGAAAACTTACTTGAATGTATTCAATCTCTTCATCTGACATTTGTTTCCTTCTGTATTTCTGAGGTAAGGTTCTTGCTAATTCAGAAGTGTCTGGTATACCTTGTACTCTACTAACAGGTGAAATATTTTGAAATGCTGGTGATCTGCCTCCTATAGACTCTTGTGCTTTTGAAGCATGGAGAGACGGCACATATGGTTGTAGAGATTCCTGTACTGAAACCCAGATGGCAAAATTTACAGAAATACTACCAGTTTGTAAAATTAATAAGCAACCAATAAGAGATACCAGTGCTTGAAAATCTTAGAATTAAGTCACTCTTTTTCTCACAACCTGGTTTTATTGTTGTTAAATGCATCGAGTGCAGAATCTAAAAATTCTGACTGTAAAATAAAGCGTGTTTGGGTGGCAGAAACACTGATGTAGAAACAGAAGATATATCAGCATATACCCTAACAATGGCTTTTTCACTGGGAAGCTATACTTGGAGAAAAAGCATAAAGTACTATAATGTATGTTTGTGAGCAATTATGTAGAGAGATAACTAAGCCAACTAAGATCACTTTTCATTTATGACAACTGTAAAGACAGATAAATGAAAAAGAGGTAGAAGCTTACAAAAAGATAAGCTTACAACCACAACAGCAGACTATAACATGCAATGCAGTGCTGTACCCATCTTTAATATTAAAAAATGGCACCATATCAAATTTTGTTAGTCACGTGCAGAATGACCACCAAGTATCAGGCATCACCAGTCAATATTAAGACATCTCCTACTTTCATTTCAGATGCTTTGTTGATCCCAAAGGACTACTAAAACAACATACTGCTAATATAAATCTGAGGTTTAAATATAACAGTATTGGGAATACCATAAATATCAACATAGATACAGGTATAAAAGTTAATGGCAAAGATTGCAATGAAATTATTTTTTTCCTCAGCATTAATTAGTAACATGAGGAAATATTTCTAAAATGTAGAGAGGGATGGCTCTCCCAGCTATAATCACGTTTTGAAAATACGGCAGACACTGCACACTTCAACTAAGAAAAGATGAGGAAAATGCAACATCATTTCTGCAAAAATCACTGAACATCTAAAGCTGCTTCAAACTGACTTGGGCACAGTTATTTCAGGTAAATATTAGTATTTGGAAAAATGTGACTTTTATATATATAAAAGTAGAAAAGCAGCACTGGAAACCTTTGTGAATCTGTCTTGATCAAGCAATAAAGACATGATGCATTATGTGTGTACACAGATCTGTACACAGCCTGTAAAAGTTGCCTTCAAACCAAACCAAGCATGTTTCAAAAATCCTGCTCCAAATCAGTTGAGTTAGATAGTTGAAAGAGAAAAATTGTGTGCTCGTTCCTATATAAAACAGTCCATGTAAAGAAATGTGGCACAAGCTGTATCTATGCATGAAATACTTACTTTTAGGTCTGGGACCACTTTTTCTGTCAGGGAACTTAATTAATGGAGTATGTGGCTTGACTACCTAGAACGAAGCAAGGTAGTGGGAGAAATAAGAAGCACAAAATGTATTTCTAGAAGCCAGTTACCCTCTAAATAATAAAATGGAATGTACAATGTATTAAACAACCACACTATACTGCTGCTCTATGCACTACTCTGATATACTTACTACTTCTTAAAGGTCTAACTTTACCCCAGTAAATTTCACTTTTAAAGGTATTTCTGCACTCTGATGTCCAGACCACTTACAGGTGTTATTTTCCTTTTCTCACAGCAACATCGCTGTGTGCAGAAACAGCCACTGCTGTTGCATAAATGCAATCACGATGCAATCTGCTCTGGTGAGATCCCACCTGGAGTGCTGCGCCCAACTCTGGGGTCCCCAAAACAAGACCCGCTGGAGTGAGCCCAGAGCAGGGCCATAAAGAACAGAGGGCTGGAGCACCTCTTGTACGAGGAGAGGTCTCTGTGAGACACCTGGGGTTGTTCAGCCTGGAAAAAAGAAAGCTCCGGGGGGACCTTACAACCCAAAGAAGGCAGATTTATACTACATATAATAGAGAAATTCTTTACTGTGAGGGTGGTGAGGCACGGCCACAGATTGCCCAAGAAGCTCTGGCTGGCCCATCCCTGGAAGTGTCCAAGGCCAGACTGCATAGACCTTTGAGCAACCTGGGATAGTGGAAGGTGTCCCTGCATACAGCAGGGGGGCTGGAACGAGGTGACCTTTAAGGCCCCTTCCAACCCACACCATCCTGTGGTTCCATAAAGCTCTAGCAGACGGAACCGCGACCTGTACGTTCTGCCTGTACAAAATGCTTTCACCTTGGAGAGGGACAGCCTAGGAAGGAGCTGCCGGCCAGCGCCGCACCCTCTTCTATCACAGCACCTGCGACACCCGTGGGCGACACCGCACGCCTCTTCCCAAGGACACCGGCCGCTCCGGCGGCGTGTCCTCAAGCCACGACCGCCTCAGGTCTCCTTTTCGGCGGCGGCACCAGGCGAAGAGAGCCCCGCCACACGAGCCAAGGCTCCGGCTGCCTCACCCCTCCGCTGTCCCGAGGCCGCCCTTACCTGCACCGCCCTGGTGGCGGCCGCCATCTTGCTGCCCATGGTGACGAGCCCGGTGGGCAGCGCCCGGCCCCGCCCACACCGGGGGAACGCCTGCGGCAGGCGGGGCTGCGCAACCGAACACACCGCCTCAGCCTTGTCAGTGAAAAACACCCAAACCAAGCCTTTTGAGTCAAATCAACGTTTTATTATTACTATTCGATCAAAGCCCACCTAAAGTTGGTTAACCACCAAGTCAAAAATGACAATATACCCTAAGACAGAAAGAGACAGTACATATCTCGGAACATGCTATATACCCTAAGCTTCTATTTCATTTGAACGTCATATAAACAAAAAAAGAAAGCAAATGCTGGTGAAAATATGTAGAAAAAATGCTGCTTAGCTGCACGGTCGATAGCATGAAGTCACCACTTCAGACACAAGTGGCTCTCAGAAGAACTAAGAGCATAAAAATTCTGCTGTTTCAAATTATACGAAGCGCTTTAATAGCAAAAAAAATCCCAATTGTAAAAACTTGCTAAAAAGTTTTTCCATCTTGGGCTTTCCACTGGGACAGAGCAGAGTCAGGTACCATGCCCGAGCTCTGCAGCCTGCTCATCCCCAGGAAGAGGACAGCAGAGCCTTGGTTTAAGTCCACTTATACGTAAACGCTTGAAATACACAGATTATTCATCTTTCTTGCATTATTGCTGTCTTTCAGAGAGAAATGAGGTTTTCAGACAGGACAGCTATGAAGTGGGTCTTCAGGCAGTTTCATTTCATCAGTTGCATTACCCATTCAAACATTTGTTGTGTGTCAGAAATTTAATTTCACTTCACAGAGTTGCATGGACACATTCTGAGTCTCTAGAGAGAAAAACAACTTTCTGAAAGGTTAAATTGAAAAATTATTGATGTGTGTTAAAAATGAAAATATATTAATATGAATTAATATATTAAATGCAAATAAAATTAAACACTATTTCTCCTGATTCATGGAAGAAGGCTATCTTTTTCAAGCTGTAGAACAATCGCCTTTAAAGATGGATCTTCTGCCCAGTTAACTCCGCTTCCAATTATGATATTCTGTAAAAAAGGAAGATTTATTGATTAAAACAAGCCCAATAAAATATCTCAAAGAAAGCCTGTTTTTTATTTTTAATTTGAAAGTCCTTGAAATCCTCAACAGGGTTTGAAGTAGGAAGAATGGGGGGAAAGAGGAAAAAGGGAAATATTCGTTTCGATCCTCTTGTCAATACACAGCCAAAAAAAAGCAAAGCTTTTAATTTCCTAGAGATGCTTGCACACTACCCCTATTTTAAACACAGAAAATTAGAGGATTTTTTTTTAACAATATGAAATAAAGTTTGCCTCAAACACAAAATAATACAACTAGTATTCTCACCCTGCCATTTTGGACTGAAAATGGGAATTTAAATTTAACCAAAGATTTGCTCTACATACGGCTCAGAAAACTTCAGGAATACAAACCCAGGAGATAATTCTAGGACTCTACTCTTAAGCCCACTAAAATGTTTAATTTCTCATTCTCAATTTGAGATGTAACGGTGTGATCAATGCACAATAGTAGTAGCCATACCATGCAGTGCAAAAAGATGTGACACTCTGTTCTTGAAATTCTTTCTCTGCCTGAGGCCCTTCCTTCCACCCTACCCCAAATCATGAGGTTTTCTTCCTCACTTTGCATGACTCCACACTCCAGACAACCTGCCAGCCAGCTGCATGGATACAGACTAGTCAGCAGAACCTGACAGATGTGGAACTGAATGGGTGAAGGCTATGCTGCTGAAAAAATCTGGAGACAGGCTGTGGCTGCAGGCCAAGGCTTTCAGAGAGTTTCAGTGGATGACACAAACACAGAGGGCATGTGGGCAGAAGGAGCAGATGGAGGTTCAATGGTAATGTGGGATTAACACCTATTTATTTTTCCTAACTGTGAGATGGGGGAAGCTGATTTGGTGGGGTGCAGAGATGGTTCATAGTATAGGGAAATACAGCAATTGCTGTGACAGATGTTCTAAAAGAAAATGCATTATTTTTGTAGCTTTTGTACTTTTGAACAAATATAGATTAACAGACTGTCTCTAAACTCTGTAAATAATTACTCCAAAGAAGTGTGTGACCATTTCATGTTTTTAGCCTCTGAAGCAACAAAAGTCTTCCTTTCATACTGCAGTTTTTCTATTACTGCTGTTACATAAAGTGTTTAGAAAACCCTGTTTTGTGTTGTTGAAGTTACATTTGCCATACACTATATTATCTTGATTGTAATGAAAAATTGCAAACTTGGTTCTAAAAGACATAACACATTACCTGAAACACATTTTGAATTACTGTAGTCATCAATCTTTCTTTTTCTAAGTTCTGAAGCATCTTTGCTTCATCCAGGTTCTGATTTCCTTTTTCCTTCTTTTGTTTTTTCTGCATAGTCTGAATTTGCTGTAGTTTTCTTCTTTGGTCATTTTTTAGTGCTGTTCCATCATTAGGAAGATGAAGTGTTAAGAAGTAGTTAGGTGAGCAGTAGAACTAAAGATACTCTTTTTTCCTCATAGCCACCTAAAGAACTTCCACTGCAACAACCCTAGCTTCCCACTCCACCCTTTCCTTCCAATATGCCTCAAGATATTTCTTTCACATAAGAGGCAACACATGCTGTGGCTATCTGGTATCAAACTACATCAATTTGTTCCCTAGTTGTCAGCAGAACAGAAAGTACCTTGTCTGCTGTCTGCATTTCTCTTAGATAGGGAGACTGCAATTTCAACATGTGTCTTATATCCTGTTTTCGACTGCCACAACTTTTATAGGTCTTTTTATAGACTTTTAAGACCATTTTCCCTTTTTTAGATCTGGTTGAAATCAAATTCCAAAGTTGTACAAGGAACATATGGACATGACCATTGAATATTACTGTTTTTATAGGAATCCTGGCTAAAAACTAGACTGATTAAAACTGTTAAGGGACAGTTCATACACTGAAAGAATGCTGCAAAGCATGCCATCCCTTATTTGCAAGGATATCAAGGATGTTAATTTTTTCTATGAAAACAGTTATTTCATAGTTATTTCATTGTGCTTGTTCCTTACTATCAACATATACACAACTCTTTATGTGTGAACCAAACAATAGCTGTTAAAAACTGGTGGCAAATCTGGTCATGACAGTAGCAGCATTCAAAAAACACATTTACCTTATAAAGTTCTGAATATTGACTTCAGATCTAAATTTGACCCATTCTTACAAGACTATATATATGTACAATTATGAGAGTTCTTTATAAGTAAATCCCCTCCATATTCCGTAAACACCTCAAAAAGGTGCAGTCTGACAAAAAAAAATCTTTTAAGTGCTGTAGGGCTGATTTAAGTTACTAAATGATGCGTAATTTCCTGGGGAGCTTACACCAAATAATAAAATGCTGCCACATTGCTTTTGAGTATTTTCTTGCATCTCTCATTACATGTCAGTCTCATGCTCAAGTAGGCAACACATCAGTTCATTTCTTTAGTACTTCCCACGCTTTTAAGAAGTTTTATAATTGTGTTGAGAGTTTTGTTACTTCACATATAAATTAATATTGCCATAAGAACAACTTCAAAATATGAACTGTATGTTCAAATACAAAACAAAATCCATACAGCTAACAAACTTACAGAGTCTTTTCCTTTTAATGTCAATCAACTTCTGTTTCTTCTCATGTGCCAGCTGAAAGGAAAAAAAAAAGTATTTCCTAGACTCTTGTCTCCAAAAAATATTGAAAGACACTAATTCAATCCACAAAAGCAGTTAAGAGCAGCTGTAAAAGCAGACTTTCTTACCTACTCTCTTCAAGTAATCATTTCAGTAATTTTCATAGCAGTAAGAACCTTTGCACCACATACTTAGCTTTAAATGACTTGTGCAGTCCTGTTGCTTTCAAACTGCACTCCTGCCCATGCTGAGGTTGGTTCACCTGCACAACTGTAACAGAAGCTACAGTTGCCACTTACCTGCTGATATTTGATTATTGTCTGGCTGAGCGACACTATGCGATTCACTGTTTCCAGGATCAGACTAAGAAAGGAAACACAGTTGCATACCTTAAGACCACTAATATAAGTCAACATCATAAATGTTTTTATCAAGGTTATTTGGTTTAAATACAGAATTTCCTGTTTATCCTGACACCAAAATAATATTAGGTGTCTGCATCCTTTCTTTTTTACAGTTAGTATACTAAGTATCATTGTAGGGGCCAAATAGTCCCCTTATTTCCCTCCCAATTTGCCTCTCAGTTTCCCTAAGGTTTTAGTTAAATCTGTTTAACATTTTGAAATCACAGAGCATGGAAGACACCAAAGAACCCTAGCCACCTGGGAATGGTTATGAATTAAAGGTCCTGAATTCTAGCATGCGGCAGAGACATTACAGAGATGCAATCTCTTCAGCTGCATTTCTGACGGAAATTAAATTTCTCACGTTACACTTCATATGTGTGTACCCATTAATATCGGGTAGGAAATTAAAAGCTAATTTTAAACATGTTTATTCTTTCAGTTCTTTTTCAAAGTCTCTTTGTTCCCACATGAATAATTAGTAAGGACAGCAAAGTAGAGGCAAGGCCCAGTTACAAGCCCATAATATGTTCTCAGCTATTGTAAATGCAGGTAATTCAGGCCCCAAAGGCAAAAAAACCTCTCTTAGCTACAAGTAGTTTTCACTGGTGAATCAAAAGTTAGATCTCTATAATCAAAGCCTGGTTAATTCAGAGCCCAAATGTAAATCCATTGTGGGTATATGAGGTCTGATCATGTTGATTCTAACCAGATGGTAGACAGTATATCATTCAGTCAAACCTAGAAGAAGGAAGCCTGCTTTCAAAAGAGGTACAATGAAGTAATCTACAAATGTGTCACAATATGAAGTGCAAATTCCATTCCTTTCTAGCCATCTGACCCCAAAGAACACCTTACCATGAGTCTTCATCATTTTGATTCACTTTGTTTCTCAGGGCAGCCATCAACTGGATCCTGCATAGTGTAAGGAATAACATATGACTGATGAGAACTGATAAGAAATTGAGAGAAGCAGGAAACTGAAGGAAGCAGATTTAAATAAGTAACAGAAAAAGGTAATTTCCAAGATTTTATTTATGTCCACTGTCATATGGGAATTATATATACAAAATACTCAGTACATTTTAAATATCACATTTAAATAACAGAGCTTAACGCTCAGGACATGGAAGGAGTATTGATGATTATTTGTGAGAGTGACAACTCCTTTCTCTCTTGCCAAACATACCCAGACATGATTAATCCCAGAGTGTGCAGAAAGGAAGCTGGGCAAAGGTAGAAATTCAAATGAACAGCAATGTAACACAGGAGATGTCTAACACTATCAAATTCTACCTTTTCATATGCATTTATAAAATATGTCCAGGAAATATGCTTACTGATTTACACAGTCACACTCTCGCAACTGTGAGGGAACTTTTCTCTTTATGCATTTCATCTGGTAGGGGTTTTTTTTGGTTCTCTACAGCATGTCCATCTGTATTCCTATGGTTCGATGGTACTAAAATCTCCCCACCTCTTCATACCACTTTGAAATTCCATTTTAACAAGACTTACGTATATATGCATTTATGTGTGCACACACAGGGAGGAAAACTCCAAATAAAGGGGGAAGAAAATTTTACCTTTGCAAGGCCAATGTCTTGTTCCAGAAAGAGACTTCTGTTTCCTCTTTATTTGTTTCCAACTCTTCTGTGACACTGAAGGAAAAAAAAACCCAAAATAACTAGACAGATAAACCCAGTGTGAAGATAACAAAAAGCTTAAAAGTAATGTCACATTTTAACTTTTTTCTACATATATAATGTAAGAATTTTTCTTGTGAACCACAAATTATTAAGGCCAGGAGTAATTTAGCATGTAGGACTATATTAGTGAATTCTAGCAATCACATGAAGGACTGCAAATTTAGAAGCCACATCACATAGAGAACTACATTAGGAGACTGAGTAAAGCATTTCTTCCCCACATTTTCTCTTAATTTTCATTATTTTCACCAAACTGCTGCAATGTACTGATTGTTAATCCAGAGATTCACTAAGAAGGAGTAACTAGAAGAGAACCTCCAAGCTCAGCTTCTAACCCTACTCCTTTTTATTTTAAAATACATTAAAAGTTCAAAGTTATCCAGTGACATACCTTTGAATATGCTTTTCCTCAACAGCCTGATGGAGGAAAGTTGTTTCACCTGCAAAAAGAGAACATCACTAAAGAAAGTCCAGTGTAGACTTTTACATACAATCTATAGAGCATAAAGGATCAGCATTTTTTGTGCAAGCAAGCTATTTCTTATTTCTATCTCCAAGCTTTATAATCTCTTTTACTGTTACTGAGACTATATTATCAATCAGCTGTATCAGATAAATAATTAGATTTTAAAATATTTTCATTTAGCACTTTTTAGATGTGCTAGAGCTGGCTTGTGGCATTGCTTTATATATGCAGCTGGATGGTTCAGAGGAAGCGATGTACCCAGCCACATCCCGGGCTGCATCAGAAGTGCGGCCAGGAGATCAAGGGAAGTGATTCGGCCCTTTAACTGCCCTTGTGAGACTCCACATGGAGTACTGCATCCAGCTCCGGGGTTCCCAACATAATACGGTCATGGATCTGTTGGAGCAAGCCCAGAGAAGGGCAATGAAATTGATTAGAGGGCTGGGGCACCTCTCCTATAAGGAAAGGATGAGAGAATGGGAGTTGTTCAGCCTGCAGAAGAGAGACTCCGGGATGACCTTACCAAGTCCTTCCAGTACCTGAAGGGAGCCTACAAGAGAGCTAGAGAGAAACTTTTTACTAGGGCACGCAGTACAAGGGGGAATGGCTTTAAATCGAAAGAGGGCAAGTTTATATTAGATGAAGAAGGGGAAGAATTAGGGAAGAATTTCCTTACTTTGAATGTGGTGAGATACTGGCACAGCTTGCCCAGAGAAGCTGTGGCTACCTCATCCCTGGAAGTGTTTAAGGCCAGGCTGGATGGGGCTCTGAGCAACCTGGTCTGGTGGAATGTGTCTCTGTCCATGACAGAGGCTGTGGAACCAGATGGTCTTTAAGGTCCCTTTCAACTCAAGTAATTCTATGATACCCCATCTTGGTACCCTCCTTGCCGAGGCAGATAATGGACAGACCACCCTGGAAGTCCTCAGATGATTGAAACACCTTAAATCAGTATTGTTGCCACACACTTTGGCAGGCTTTTGGCAAGACTTCAGCCCCAGTGACCAGATTCCTGAAAACCCTCATGACATGTCAGAGGAGTCTAAAGTGCAAACCCAGAAAAGAGGGGAAAGGGCGACAACCATACGGCATTTTTGTAAGCATTCAAACACGTCTCAAGAGCCGCCTAGAAAACTCAGTAAAACGCGAAGCCAAGAAAAATATTTCATTATTGTAACGAGCACTTTTGAAGGATAATTAAAAACATATATATTAGCCACTTCGCATTATTAGACAGTGTAAGATCCTGCTAGGAGGAGGGGCGTGCCTACCGCCACGAACGGCCGCGCTGTACTCCATGAGATGCTGCTTCATCTGGTCCCGCAGGCTGCGGTGGGGGAAAAGCGACAACGGTCAGATGCTGCGCATCCCGCCATCCCACCCCCCCAGGCTGCTCCCCGTCCCGTCCCGCCAGCACTGACCGGAGCAGCTTGAGGACATCCAGGTCGTGGCCGCCCTGGGGCCACGCCTGAGCTCTGCCCTGCTCCTGCTCCTGCTTCTGCTCCTGCTCCTGCTCCTGCTCCTGCTCCTGCTCCTGCTCCAGCTCCTGCTCCTGCTCCTGCTCCTGCTCCTGCTCCTGCTCCTGCTTCTGCTCCTGCTCCTGCTCCTGCTCCTGCTCCAACTTCCCGGACATGGCCGCCATCGCCCTCACTCAAACCCCGCGGCTCCCGGCGGCCCGCGCGCTTCGCGCCTGCGCAGAGCAGTGGGGCGGGGCCCGGTCTGAGGGCAGCGCGGGAATGTGTGGGTGGTACGTGCAGCGAAGGCAAAAAAAGTAAAGCTGAGAGCAGCAAGCAAAGCGCAGTAATCCTCTTGTATGACCTACTGTTCTCCTAGAGGTAGAGCCAGCAGGTGTAAGCCACTAACACAACTCACAAGTATACTACCATAAATACATACCGAGTGAATAGACCTGCACTCTTTAAAACCATAGACTTCAGAGTTAAAAGAGACCTTTAAGATCAAGTGCAGCCGTCAACCCGGCACAGCCATCATGTTCACCATTAAACCATGACCATATTCACACTTTCTTTGGAACAGTACAAGAGATGGTGACTCTACCACATCTCTGGGCAGCCTGTTCCAAGATCTGACAACCTTGGAAAGCAGGTGTGTTTGTCTTCGAGAAGGTGGAGTACAGCTTCACTAGCTGACCTCCTCCTCAGAGCCCCCAATACTTCCCAGCCTTTCTCCTTCCTCTCTCAGCTCTGCCACCAGGCTGAACAGACCATCCACCTTACACAACTCTACGCTGCTCTCTGAGTCTAATCTGGCAGATGCTCTGCCACACATTAGCAGAGCCTGTACCAATGCTCCCATCTATACACCTCCAGGGAGGACCAGACACACCACCTGGGCTGGCCCAAGAGCTCACTCAAGCTCTCACAGCACTGGTCACAGCCTCCAGGGAGGTGCCTCAACTGTAGAAGGTTGCCCCAACTGTACTGCCCTCCTCCTCCCTCCCTCCTCCCCCCCCTTCCCCACTCTCCTCCCCGATAAAGCCTCACAAATAGTAGCACATCTTTAATAAGTTTAACACAGATAAGATACTTTATATATACAGTGAGGAGCATTCTGCTTGAGTTCACATGGAGTTCCAACTTTTTGACTAGAGGCTCAGCTAGATTCTGTATAATAGAAGAGCGCAATTGTTCAAAGGTGCTTATCTTGATATTGATGGCATATTTCTTCATCATTGCCTACAGGGAAATAAGATTATGTTTTCCCCTGTTCATGAAATAATGCTATTCCAGCTCATTTAAGAGTTGGTGGTCGAGCCAAGCCCATTCTAGCACACAAGCTCGGGTTACAGCTGGCTCACACCATTTGAGTGAGACAGATTTTCAACTGAAGTGAGCAGGTCTTATCCAAGTCTGACAACAGCGGCTCAGCTAAGGCAGCCCCAGCACACCACGTATTGACACTTAACCACACATACCCCCCACCCCGCACTGTAAGATTCTTACCTTCTGGTGGCAACATCCTTATTTACAAGGACTACATTCTTTGCCTCAGAACACAGGTTTTCAATGTAGTCAGTGTAAGGTGTGTTCTATGGTGGATTCATACTGGCCCATACAGAATAACTATACATTCTCTGTTACCTCTGTTGGGATCTGCAGGGGGATTAGAAGACTTTGAGATCAAATCAGGGAGAGGAGTAAGCAGTTTTGAGACATCAGGTCACTGCTCATAGCTGAGGTTTATGTGGTGCACACAACTGAAGACCACATGTCCTTTGTTGTTCAGCTGTATTTTGCTAAGGGTAACGTGTCCAGCTGTGGCTTATTAATATAATAAGTAAATAACTTACACAGACCTGACTAGCTTCTTGGGGGTGCAGAGCCAAATCCCTTTATTCGAAACAAACACCACTCTTTTATCATGGTTTCAAAGTAACACATGACTCTCTTGACCAACCACCAAGGGCATTTCACTGTCCATGTGTGGGAGCACTTTGGGACTTTATTTCCCAGGATGCCTCATCCAGCATCCTTCCTCTAACCCGACTCCTACATCTCCCCTCTTCTTTATTATTATGAGGAAGTACAGAATATTACATATAACAGTACATTTTAAACTTTGTAAACCCCCTTTAACAATGACCACTGCGGCACCTTGGTCTTTCAACAAACATACTTATTTGAATTTTTACCTGAATTCCTTGAGATTTGCTTGACATAAATTTGTACTTTCATTTCTTAAGGGTTTATGTGTATTTGGGATAAACAACAACTTTATTAACCTGAGGGTTTTTGCATAACTGGGTAAAATATCAACTCTCACTTCTCCAAGGGCCTGCATGTAATTGGCAACCAGGAGAAATTCAACTCCATTTTTAGAAAAGGGCCCTTAGAGAACAATTGTTGTGATGTAAGTGTAATTTGTTCAAGGCACATGAAGCATGCCCGTTCACACACACACGTTCACACAGCTTCTCTCATTCATACAGAAGTGGCCACTTCACTCGTACTCACCCATTTATACCTAGAATTTTTATTATGTCCCTATTTTTTAACTACACATTTTAGATTTATAAGTGGTTATTGGTTGCATGTTTTTCAATCTGTCACTTCTGGTAATTATGCCTGGCAACTGTACCTGTCTTGAAAATTTTAAAAGGAATTAATATGAAGAATGTAAGGCTTAACAAACCTAGATTATGTTTTACCTGCTGTCTTCCCCCCCTTTTTTTTGTTATAGAAAACTAAAAGTTAATAAATTCAAAGATACATTCACAAATTACTATCAAAATATGTTAACATAACTTAAAACTCAGCATCTCCTGCAAACAACTAGATCAAGTTATCATCACAATAACACAATATATAAAACGAATTATCATTATAAAATGCTAATACAGTTTGAAACTTAGCATCCTTTGCAAGTAACCAGTTTGTCTGTGGTTTTTAGAATGCAGTTAATTTTCAGCTTTTGTCCATCCATTTCTGTTAGCTGCTTTTTGCTTTTAGTAACAAACTTAACAAACATGTTAATAACAATTTAAACAGTCTCAGGTGGCTAGTGTGGAAGAAACAGACGTAGAGGTTAGGCAAACACGTAGTTTCTCTCTAGCTTTTTGTTCAGGAATGGTCTTTTTCGAAGTAAAGCAATAGAAGTCATTTTATGCCTTTAATTGTCGTTTACTTCAAAGTTGAAGGTTGAGGTAAAGGCTGCCTCCCCTCACACCTGAGCTCTGAAGGGGAGCCGAGCACACCCGCAGCCCTCCCCACCAAGCAGAGACTGGGGAGAGCGGTGGAACCCAGAGGGCTGCCCTGCTGCACCCCTCTCTGCCCTCCGAGCTGAACGGAGGGAAAGGGAAGCAGGGAGCAGGACACAGAAGGGCCGCGCGGCTGCCCCCCCCCCGGCCAGGACGACACCCCGCTCCGCACCCCCGCCACCCCACTCTGTGCCGGGCCCTTCCCGCACGTACTCGGGTGGCCCTTGTGGCCGTGGTGGAGCAGAGGGACCGGACGGACGGGGCTCAGCGGCACCAGAGAGACAGGCAGAGCCCCGGCAGGATCGGGCAGACGAACCGCGAGAAGAGACGGAACTCCAATAGGATCCGATGGATGAAGCTTGGCGTGACGGCCTCGCAATTAAAAACTCCCACGGCCGCCATTCATTGGCCGCCGCGGCCCCGCCCACGGCGCTGCCCTGAGGGCGGGCGGGTCGGGCCGTCTGTGCGGGCACCGCCCCCACTTCCCTGCCGTCCTTCCGTCTCGAGTGCTTTGGTAACTAGAAAAGTCAAGATGCAGTAAATAAAATATTACTGAAAAACATTAACTTCTTCCCCGTTACGTACACACATACTGCTTGCTGCAGGAGTTTCCTTTAAACTTAATTGTTCAAAGCGTTTTGTTGCAACTCTGCATACAAGTGACTTGCCTGTGAATTATCCAGGTATGAGCTCATCTTCACTGCCATGATCGTGGTCCCAGACACCTAATTTGTTTTGGGTTCTGCTGCTAGCAGCTGAAGTAGGAAACTGGCATTTTGCTCAGAGGAAGCTGTGGCAAGCACAAACGCTTTTCAGTTATGTCGACCTAATGATTTGAAAAGACAGAATCAAACCCCCCCTTCCACTTTTCACCTACCTGTGACAATGAGGTTTGGTGAGATACTGTAAAATCCAGTACAATCCTCTCAAAATAGGAGTGGCACATGTAAATATTAACTGAAGCTTTTTGTTTGAGAATGGTTTTCAAAACCAAAAGATCCACTCTACTTACAGGCTGAGCATAACTGTAGCACTGCTATTCAAGTGACAAGCCTTCTGAAGGAGACAAGGTGAAAAAAACACTGCCAAATGTGTACATGGACAAAACCCAGGATCCAGCTTTGAGAAGGCTGCTGGCTCTGCAGCACTGTCCTGAGATATGAGAAGTTGTGATTTATGCACACATTCTTCATTATTCAACACAAATGCAATTGCAACTTCTAGAAACTTTCTGACCACAATTTTTCAAGTCAGTCTTGTACTGCAGATGGCATTTTAACACGCCACAGGAGGAACAAACTCACTTAAGAGGGACAAAACAAACCACTCAGTTTGTATAAAAAGTTCCAATCACAAGAGAAGCACCTACGAGTTAAGAAATCACAATTTACTGTCCATTTCAGCAACTTGCCAGGTCCCAGACTACAGTCACAATTCGGTATTCTAAACCTGGACTGCATCCTTGCGTAATACACAAAAGTATCGCTGGCTACAGTACATCTGCAGCTGTGTTGTGGTATTACTAAAACAATTAAGTAAAAAAATTAAGTAAAAATAACGTATCTTGAAGAGACAAAGTTTAGCTGAGTGCTAGGATGCTTTTACACTTCAAATTGTTGCATTTCCAGTTATTCATACAAAAAAGTACAAAAGATTTATTTTACAGAGTTGTTTGAGTTATGATTCTGAGTCTTCCCAGGAAAGAGAAAAGTGTCTTCATTTTTTGCCCCTCCCAATTTCTCACTGTTAACCTGTGGATTTCTCTTCTTAAAAAATAATTTGATACAAATGTAACATGGTAACATGTATTTGCTCTGGTGCATTAAGTTTAGAAATCAAATTTGTATGCTGAGACATAATAAAAAAACTGTAGTCTTCTATTATCTACCACAGTGTGCAAAACAAATGGCTTCCTGATTTTCACTCCCCATAATAAACATGTATTTTTTTTCATTCAAAGTCTTCATGCTATCTTTGAAAAAAAGAAAAATATTCTCCAGTTGATCATGTTTGCATTCTGATATAAACTATTTCCATTTCCCATTGCTAACAAAATACAATACAAATGTTCCACATTTAAGAGAAAGTATGGAATATATCCATGCTCAGCTAGAAGTTGCAAGACTTCTGTTTAATAAACTCCAAGTACAGTATTTAAGATTTCAATTATTTTCATATATACAGCAAATATTCAAGTCCTTATTTCCTTTATAAAAGCATTCTGATCCAATTAAGAAAGACAGTATGCTTAAAAAAATTCAAATATATAGTACATTTGTTCCTGTACATGTATGTTCAAGATCTCCTGGCAAAAATACAAATATGGAATCTAACAGTTTCACCATTTACACCTCCTGTGGTGAACACAACTTTGTATCACATGATATAAGTACCATCTTTGTAGTATTTCATGGATTCTAGTTGCTGAGTCATTGCAAGGACATCCTGAAACCCTGTACTGAGTCCGGACATGTGTTGAAAATAAGCCTCCTTCTCCACTTGGACAGTTAAGTTGTTTACACCAGCATCTTTCAGAATTGCTGTGACCTGAACAGAACAGTATGGTTAACATTAGTATTACACTTCATACATATCTCACTTGCAGTGTTCTGGCTCTGAAATGCTGTACAGGAAAAAAACCCCTATCATAATCATTACTTCAGCAAAGCCTTTGACAGCATCTTCCATACCATGCTCCTGGAAAAGCTGGCAGGCAGCCCACGGCTTGGACAGGGGCACT